GTAAAAGGGTAGGTCAGTTCGTTGGTATTATACCTAAAGACCCTGAACCAGAAGAACAAGCTCCTGTTATACAACAGCCTGAACCTGCACCACAGTCTAGTTGGCAACCAAATCCAACACCTCAACCGTATTAAAAAATTATATTTTTACCGTTCGATAGTAGTTGTATATGAAACTAAGTTCTAAGTAAAACGCATGGTATAATGGAATTATTCTCTTTCTTCCATCTGTTGTAAACCATACTTGAAAGTCTGAAATACTTCCACTTGGTGGTTCGTATAACTTTGTAGGTTTTTCGTAAAAGTCATTTGCCAAGCATAAGAAAGAGTTTTGGGCGCCAGAAAATGAAGCATGAACAATAATAGCAGCTGGGTCGAAAACATCTTTAAATAAATATGGTTCATCTCTTGCATATCGACTGTAAATATTTGCTAAAGGAAGTTCGACTTTCTGATTTAACATTCTTTGCAAATAATACCATGACATTGCAGTGAATTCTGTATATATTTGTTCGTCTTTCTTTGGATTGTCTTCGTAGATTTGAAATGACACTTGTGAATTTTGTTTGTCATATACAATTCTCACATAAAGTGTGCTCTCGGTATTTGCATATTCATCAGCATATTTTGCATAACATGAATTTATTTTATCTTCTATATTTTTTAACGCAGTCTGTAGAGAAGATGAAAGGTCAACTTGTATTAGCTCAATTTCTTCCCACATTTTTCGTTTCCCTTCAGATATATAATCTATATGAAACCTTACAATAAATGGAAAACTTTTATCTTCTACAGACACAAACTTCATTCTACGAAAGCCAATAGCTTTTGTGACAGATGGGTCTCTTAGCCATCTTAATGGGTAGTCAAAACGATAGCCTTCATGCTTTACGGTCTCTGTCTCAAACTTTTGACCGACATTAGTAAAAAGTTCATCTAATGGTTTAGTTGTAGCAACTCTTGAATTTTCTTTTTCTATTGGAAGCATATTTTATCTAGAATAAAAATGTCGAAAGAAACAGCGTCTATGAGAGAAATACAACACAACCGACAACTCATTTTGCAAGCTCTAAATAAGAACACAACAAACTTTTCAAACTATTCTAAGATATCTGAGTCATTGAAAGAAGGAAACTTAAAACTGACATTAAACCCAATGACAGATGAGTTTCTGTTTCAAGACAACAAGAACCATACTGTCTGTATAAATCCAACAAAAGGAACTTTAAACGAGAAGCCTATAAAAGAACTTCTTTTGAAAGCAGATGTTGACAACAAAGCTGACAAAGAGTATGTCATTGAAAAAGTTCAAGAAGAACATGACAGAGCAGATGCAACATATGCAACGAAAGAACATACTCATCCTGAACTAGCAGACAAAACATATGTTGACAATAAAATGTCAAGTGAAGTGACAAGAGCTGACAAAGAATATTCTAAAAAGACTCATACACATACCATTGCAAATATTACAAACTTACAAGAAACCTTAAACAGGAAAAGTGACGTTGGACATACACATACCATTGCAAATATTACAAACTTACAAGAAACCTTAAACAGGAAAAGTGACGTTGGACATACACATACATCTTCTGAAATAACAGACTTAAACGTTAGCCTTGAAAGAAAGCAGATAAAACATATGTCAATGAATATACCAAAGTTTAGTTGGAACAAAAAATATTGAAACTATGGTTGGTGACTTTTCTGTCTATGAAGAAAACAAATATTTTAGATGGGAGTTTGTACAGTCCTTAGAAAATGGTACACGGTATAAACTCATTCCGAAAAATAACAATGAAATGTATGTAAGCTATAAAAGAGTGATGGTACACAAGTTAAAGTTCCATTAGACAACAACTGCTACTTAAACTTCTATGGAGACCGAACAAAAGAAATATTTAAGAGTTTATGAAATGAACAGATATGACATTGCCTGACCCAGCTCCAGCACCATACTATTATGACTATGGAGATGACGTTGAACACCACATGTAGATGAACAAAGCTAACATTATATTTAGATTTTTATAGATATAAAAGATATAATGCAATAGAAAAAAACGAGAATAGTATACTATTATGAAGATGACAGAAATAAATATTATAGTCAAGACTTTACCTACCCTGAAAACATAAGATATATATTATAAAAAATATTCTGACACAAACCAGAAGAAACCTGAAATAGTTGCACTATATTTTAAGTTCAAAAGAGACAACCTATAATGTCTCATATGTTTGATTTAATGAACCCAGTAGGTTCTATTTATACATCTATGGAAGCAAGAGGTCCTCAAGTAATGTTTGGTGTTGGTGCATGGGAACAAATAGTCGACAGGTTTTTGTATTGTGCAAACTCTTCAAAGGAAACAGGTGGAAGTAAAACGATTTCAGGTGAAAATTTACCTGCACACAGTCACTACATAGATTTAAGTACATCTCAAGCAGGTTGGCATAAGCATAGATATTGGGATTGGTCAGGAATGACAAAAGGTAAAGGAAATTGATGTTAAAGACGACGTTAAGTTTGCTATAAATTGTTACTGGAGTGACACTCAGGGAGAAGGAAACCATACACATTTCGTTTCAATATACGCAAACAACGGGACAAAGTAAAGAATACATGCCACCTTACATGACAGTTTACGCATGGTATAGAATTGCTTAGTCGTCATTTTCAACTTCTTTAGCATATTCGTCAGCAGTTGTCTTATATTTGTTAGGAACTGTCTTTGAAAGTATACCACCTTGAACTTTGACAAGTTTGAAACGAGGTCTGACAATAGTAGTTTATCTTCTGCTTGCAGTGTGTACATTTTGCCATGTTTGCCTAAAACTTCATAATATTCTCTTGATACTTTCTTCTATTTTTACGAACACGAATGTGAGTACCTGTCGAGTTCCCATTGTGTTGTCATAGTCAATAGTATTTTCATATGGGTCGCGTTTAGGTATTTCTATTTTTACTTTGTCACCTTTCTTAAGTTTGAAGCCTGGCATTCTTTCTTGTTTGTCTCTTTTGACTAAACTATTAAATATATAGTCTTTCTCTAAGTCGGGGTTGTTTTTCATTTCTTCAGGGGAGTGGTTTCCCAAACCTTTTTGTTTACGGTTATTGTAAATATTTAAAACTTGTCTCATCTTTGCCATGGAGAAGTGTCTATATTTGTCGTCATATGACATCTCACCTACCTCACCACCTTGTGGTTGGTTTAAGTCTCTTAACATTTTTATACATCCGTCAATGACACCAAGAGCAGAATGGTTTTGGTCGACAATGAAATATTGGTTTACATTTTTTGAACGCAGATAGTTTTTTACATCATCTGATTTGAAAGAACTTTCACAGTCAGATGTCAGTTTTGTTGGATGGTATTTGTCAACGAATATTGTCAAAGCTGCTAAGATATCTAAAATATTTTTGGACTGTAATGGTATGGCTTCACAGTATCTTGTGTTTTGACCGACAAATATTAGCCAGTATGGTGGTCCATCTTCTCTATACCTCGGAATGTTTTCCAAGATATCCATAAACCAAGCATTTGGTGTTGAACTAAAGATTTTTATCATGAGTGCTTTCTTTGTTGCCTTAGAAACATACGGGTCCTTGTTTGGATTCGTCATTTTTATCCTATAAGAAATGGGTTTATTTGGCGCGTTAGCAGGAGTTGCATCTAGATTTTTACCCGCAGTGGGAACAATAGCCAGAGGTGTATTTGGAGTTGGAAGGAAGATTTTGAGTACATTAGGTATACTGAAAGAGAAAGCACAACCTATTATACAAACTGTACAGAAAGGTTGGGATGTAGCACGAGATGCAGCAAATCTTATTCCAAATCCTGAAACAAGAGGAAAAGTTCAAGGATGGATGGACAATGTAGGAAGACAAGCAGGAAACTATTATAACAAAGCAAATGACTACTATAACCCAAGCAGGACACTATATGGACCAAGGTGAAAGATTCTTTAACAGAGGATATACCATGCACAACAATGGGTAAACAACAACCAACCTCAACCGCCTCAAACGTGGGGAATGTAAATTTTTTTACTGAGATGAAATGAACAATACAGCATTGAGACAAATGGGCTCAAGATGGATTTGCCGGCTTCCAGCAGTTACACAACCACGTGTTTGTCAAGTCCTCCCTATACCTCAAGAAGTTTTAGACCGACATAAAAAACCTCAACAACCAGTTGAAAACAAACCAAACTAAAATTTTTTACTGAGATGAAATGACCGAAGAAGTTGAAACGGTAGATTTGACACCACAAACAAAAAGTTCAGAACCATTGTCAAAACCTGTCAAAGAACTTACAGATGAAGAGAAAAATTCAATAATAGAAAGTGCCAGGTCTGGAAATACAAACCCTAACTACAAAGTCACTTTTCATAGAAATGGAACGGCTAGTATCTCAAAAAAGAAACAGACTCTCACAAATAAAATATTGAAGTCTGAAGGAGTTTATGAGACAACAGATGGAAAAGTTTACTTCACCGACCAACAGTTCATTATAGAACATCTCATTGACTTAGAGTCGAAATATTCTAAACTTTACAACAAACACAAAAAGTTGAAAGGAAAACAAAAACAAATGGCATATGATATTTATGAAGATGTTGACGACACAACTGTTCCAGCAAGTGAGGTAAAGTCAGAGGAACCGAAAAGTGACGAAAAACCAATAGAAGAAGGTGAGCCAAAAACTGAAGATAAACCAAAACCAAAGTTTAGTCTCCAGACTAAACCAAGTCAACCTTCATTAGCTGGTATGGGTTGGCGTCAAAGACTTATGGCAGCCGGTGGTTATGTTAAGTAAAGAAAAAAATATTTTTTTATTTTTATAAAAATGCCCCCGTATAGAATGGATAGAAAATCTGCTAGAATAAAAGCAGAGTTGCAAAGATATGGTTGGAGAGTTTCGAAGAATTTTAAATATAGGAAGGGAAGACCCATAAAAGTCTATGACAAACTGGCTGGTCTGACCTACGAAATGGATTTGGAAACAGCACGTGCAAATTATCCAAACAGACTAGAGAGGTTAGAAGAAGAACGTCTTATGGACATGCCTTTCGATGTTAGTGAACCTCAAGTTGAAGGACACGACGGCTTTGCCAGATTCTACTGGAAACATGACGAACAATTGCATCCTTTGAGAAGGAAAAAAGGAAAAGGTGAAGACGCACATGCTCCCATGGAAAGAACAAGATATGCATATGAAAAGTATCGTGAAGTTAGAAGTCAAATTACATCTGGTCGAACCTTTACAGTAAACTTTGACGAAGGAAAGAACAAAGAAGGCTTCATGGGAGTACTTGCTGCCATTCAAGACGGAAATAAGAAAGGATACAATCTCAGACTAACCGTAACAGATTTAGATGGTCACATTTACTATGCGCATGGCAATGAACAAACAGCCGCACAACTTCTTGACGCTTTCAAGACTACAAAGAGAGAACAAATGGTTGACTCCGACTCAGACATTTTGAATGCAATTGAAGGAATTGCAAGTGTCAAGTTCGAATGGTACCAACCCTCAAGCAGTCAGACAACATGCTGGATACTTCCCGTTCAGAAATAAGTCTGACATTGACTTGACAAGGTATGGAATTTACAATTCAATTGAAACAATTGTCAATGAACCTTGTATTCTTACATGTCTCAGGAACTCTGGTCTTGTTACAGAAGAGAAGATGAAGTACCTTGAGTCATGTGTGAAGACAAGGTACATTCTTAGAGGTCAATTGTCAAAAATTGCACCGTTGGCAAATGTGAATATCCGAGTCAACATTCCGACTGAGAAAGGTTCTTCACATGACGACTATGTTGTTGACAAAGACTTACCATGGTTGAAGATTGTAATTGTCCACAACCACTTCATGTTGAACGAAAGTCTTACAAACCCATTGTTCGGAAAAGGCAAGTGCAACATTGTCAGAGCTGTAAACATTCTTTTCGAGAAAGGCTTGTTGGAACCAATTCCAGATGACAAGCTGACAGAAACTTTTGTACCAAAAGACGAAACAAACTTTTCATTGTTAGTAAGACCAAAAGTTGTTCCAGACAAAGTTATAGCACAAAAGAAGTACACAGCTCCAAAAGGAGTTGGATTGTTCGGATACCAACCTGAACCAGAAGAACTTCCAATGAGGTTGCAAGAACTTCAAGATGCTATAAACAAACTTCCATTGAGACATCCAATTGACGTCAAATTGTATTGGAGAGCATCTGAGTTAGGTCAGAAGATTTTATATGAAACAGGTTGCTTTGACGATGTTTATGAGATAACAGGAGAAGTTTCTCAGAAGATAAGAGACTCACTTGAATTTCCACAAACTGGTCCGATTGGATGCGACAAGTTCGACTCATACGAAAAGATATACTATGTCGACCTTAACGCTGCGTACATGAGGTTTGTCCAATATATTCCGACTGGAATTCCAAACGAAGATGGTGAGTTCCCGGGAAGGAACTATACAGTTGGAAAAGTCATACAACAACTGTATGATATTAGGAAAGCTTCAAACCCCAAACTTGCAATGACACTCAAATTGCTTATGAATTCGACATGGGGATATTCCATTAAGAAACCTCAAGCGATGAAGAGTAAACACTATGAGAAGGTCGACAACTTTGTTGAAAGGTTCTCCCCTTTTGTTTTGAAATACGAATTCACTCAAGGTCAAGGTGGCTTAGTAACCACAGTAAAACCTATTGTCGAACATTGGTCCTATCCTCAGTTCGCAAAGGCAGTCCTTGACAACTACAACAAATTTTTCTCAGAGGTTAAATCCAAAGTGAAGGTATACTATGAGAACATTGACGCGCTCATGACGAACGAAGAAGGCTATAACAAACTCATTGAATTGGGTTTAGTCGGTGAGAAGATGGGCTGTTTTAAGCTAGACAAGGTATTTTCCGAAGTTCATGTCCTCTCCAAGCGAAAGTACTGGGCTGTTAAAGAAGATGGTGAAATAGTTAAACATTGCATGAAGTAAAACGTTGCATGAAGTAAAACATTGCATGAAGTAAAACATTTTTTAAAACAGTATATTTTTACATATATTAAATGCTTCAGGTTGAAAGAATACGGTGGAGCCAAAAGTGGCTCGACCTCAAAACAAGCATTTTATGAGCTTACAAAGGGTGTTATGAATGAATTCAGCAACATACATCCTGACCTCGTTCATTTTGTTGCTAAATTCAGTAAAAATAATGTTTAGGTGAAGAGGTGAGATTTCACCCGTTTTCTCACCTGTTTTCTCACCTGTTGAATTTTCATGAATTTTGTGCTGAATTCGACAAAAATGAGTTTTTGGTTGAAAAAAGAGGTGGAGCCAAAAGTGGCTCGACCTCAAAACAAGCATTTTGTGAAGAATATACCAACCCGCGGAAAACAGCGGGTTGCTTTTTATACAAAATTCAACAGGTGAATTTTCATGAATTTCCTTAAGATAGAAAAAAATATATTTTAGGCGACCAGGTCACTCGGTCAACTAACATCTTTTTGAAAAAGTGTGACAACATGACATTTTGACAACAACACAGGAAATAGATTTCATCGTATATTTTTTGTTAAGACTTCATCGTAAATGTTTTGTTGAGACTTCATCGTATATGTTTTGTCGAGATTTTTATCGTTGTGGTCCGACGGTTAAGCCATAAACGAATGTCCGACGTCCCACCAAAAAATATTTTTTTATTTTTATTGTAAGAACAGAAATGTCAGTCGAAGCAAAAACGTTCACGAACAAATCTAATGGCGAAACATTCACAAAAGGCACTTACAACGGTATTGAAGTCTTACGTAGAGACAAGGATGGTTATATAAATGTAACAAATATGTGTCAGCAGTTTAGGAAAGACTTTAGAAAGTTGTTGGAAAATAAGTCCTGGGAAGAGTATTATACGGCATTTTGTGAAGAATATACCAACCGCCGGAATTCCGACGGTTGCTTTTTATACAAGGTTCATGCAGGAATTCCTGATGAAATCAAACAGGTTAGAGGAATGTATGTAGACCCAAGACTCGTAAACTATATTGCAATGTGGGCTTCTCCAAAATATTGTATAGCAGTTGGAAAAATTATGGACTCCATAGACAAGAAAGTTCATGAGAAGTTAGATGAAGAAGAACTTGAAGATACAGTAGAGAATGCAAAACCTTTGTTTGAAGAAGAAGTTAGAAAAATGCATGAAAAACAAATAGAACATGAACGTGAGATATGTTCTGGTTATAGAGATTCTCCATACGAACTAGACCAATGGGAACAAGAAGATTTAAAGAGAGAATTTAGAGAATATGAACTCGCTAAGATAACATTAGAAGCTGCAGAAAAGAAGTTAAAAGTTTGGGGTCGTTTTGTACAAAAATATTGTGAGTAAATGAACCATTTTTTTTCGACAAAAATAATGTTTATGTTAGAATGTTAGATCTAACATGTTTTCTAACCTCTTTTCTAACATGGTCTAAAACTCTCGAAAATCATGAATTTTACACCAAAAATAATGTTTATGTTAGAATGTTAGATCTAACATGTTTTCTAACCTCTTTTCTAACATGGTCTAAAACTCTCGAAAATCATGAATTTTACACCAAAAATAATGTTTAGGGTAGATGGGTATATCTAACCTCTTTTCTAACCTCTTTTCTACCCTCTTGAATTTTCATGAATTTTCCCGAAATAAAAAATAAAGTTAGTTTTTTTAAAAAAATATTTTTTATTTTTATTGTAAGAACATGTTAGCAACAACAGCACCAAACTCGTTAGTCATGAACCCAACTTCAATGTTAGTAGAGATGAAAAGCTTCATTCCTTCTTCATATACTTTCGAAACAAAAATCCAGAAGATAAAGCAAGAACTTTTAACAAGTAATTTAGACTGTAGTGCGAAAGATGAAACAAATGAACAGTATCTTTATGAAATGCAGGACATTATTGACCATTTACCCAAATTGCCTGAAATCCAACAACAAAAACTAACCATTCCCGAATTTGACGAAATAGAAGTCAAAGCAACTGACTCAGTAGAAATAAAGAAGTTCATACGAAAGGTAAATTATGAATTCCTTGGTTTTCATTGCAACCATAAGGTTATGGACAAAGATTGCGACATGGTATATAAGAACATCTCTGACCTTTACAAATCCGAAGAATTTAAGACCTACGACAACTTTGTTTCATTAGTTGCAAAATGTGTTTGGGAAATAAGAGATAAAGATAGTAGGGGTAAGGTATGGAACGAACAAATAAGACCCGCTATGTTCGAGATGAAGAAAACCATTGACGCCTTAGTTGTTTTAGCAGGTAAGGTTTCAGAATATAACGCAAAAATGAATCCGCAATGTTCAAAATGTAAAGCAGCAATGAGGAAATATAACTACTCCGTCAAAGAGATAGAACGTATGCGAAACGACTATGCAGATTTAAAGAAAGAAGCAGAGAAACCAGCAGAAGATAAAATGGACATGTTGACATTTCTAAACAAAAACTATCCAACAGCTGACGATTTCCTATTATCTGACGTCAAGAAGAAGTATAAAGAAACCTTCGGCATAGTTAAAACATTCGATGTACTAAAAGAAGAAATAGAAGCTACAAAACTGTTTAAAGTCATGAACCATCGCAACATATACCATGTAAAACGCTTGTAAATAGTTATGTTAGAAAACATGTTAGAAAACATGTTAGATCTAACATTCTAACATAAACATTATTTTTGCTGAATTCCGTATGAAATTTCATGAGTTTTGTATGTTTTAGACCATGTTAGAAAACATGTTAGAAAACATGTTAGATCTAACATTCTAACATAAACATTATTTTTATTGAAAAAATGACCAAATTTCATTATATAACTGTTATTTTTTTACGAAGAGAACTTTTGCACTTCGTCAAAAAAATCCCTGAAATCATATCTTTTATACAAGATAGAAAATCTTACTCGCCAAAACTCTATGAAAATCATGAAGAACAGCGAGTAGGTAAGAAATCCTGGTCGCCTAAAACTCTATGAAAATCATGAATTTCCTTAAGATAGAAAAAATAAAGCTAGTTTTTTTAAAATATTTTTTTTTATTTTGTATGTAAGAACAGGAAATGACAAACACTGAGTTTGAAACAGTTAAAAAGATAGACAATAACACTAAATTGGTTAGAATAGGTGATTTAAACGTAAGATACTCAAAGAAATACAATAAATATTCTTTGTCAGACATTATATCTCCATTTGGAAAGAAAACATCCCACGACTGGGTTAGAACTGCTTCTAGTCAGAAAATTTTGACAAGAAATCCTGAGCTTATGATATCGGTAAGATTCTATGGAACTACAGCATATCTCATCGACAAAAGTCTTATACCAATAGTTTTGTTATGGTTAGACCCAGTTGTTGGATATAACTTCATAACATATGGTTTATTCGACTCAGAACGTTGCAGTGAAGGCTTACTTTACATCGTTCAGAAACCGAAGGACTTCAATACAAAGAGATATAAGATAGGAAGAACATATAATATAACTCAAAGATATGACAGTACAGTCAATAGAGTTAAGGTTGTGTTCGTTAACGATATGAGAGCTGCTGAAACAGAACTACTTGAAAAGTTTGAGAAAATATATGGTGCTCCCATAAAAGGTAAAGAAACGTTTGAAGTAGATGAGATAGATAAAGCTATAAAATTATTTGACGAAGTTGCTGAAAAATACATGTAAAGCGTTTATTTTTGGTCTTTTGTGAAAGTCAGAAAATAACGCTAATTTTATTTTTTTTTATTTTTTTATCCGGAATATAAAGACAGATATGTCAACAACAGAGAACACAACAACTGCTATCGTTCAATGAAGCTATAAGTGAAGAATACGAGTGGGTTCAGTATAACAAACAGTTACGTCTCATTCGTTCGGTCAAAGATGACATGTTACCAAATGCAAAGTATTTTGAATGCTCTTCGTTCTAAAAGCAAGCATACCATTGGTTTGAAAACCAACAGACAAAAGAAACTTTTAGAAAGAATTTCCTCATATGTTTGCTACCCTCTCGGAAAACCGAGGGTAGAGATTCCGTACGAAAATCGCAAGAATTTGGCTCCTGGTTTGAGAGGTTGGTATGTACATAGACTTCTTGTAAATGCTGTTGCAATGTGGGCGTCACCTCGCTATGCTTGTTATATTTTCATGATGTTAGATGAAATTCATAGACAAGAACGTGAAGAGATGGAAAAGAAACTTCAAGCAAAAGATGAAGTCATTGAAGCAAAAGACAAAAGCCTTCAGAAAAGAATACCACTTCGGTACCAAAAGGAAAGGAAAAGAACTATAAGTATATGATTTATACTGAAGAGATGGAAAATGAAGAAGACAGAGATATGGTTATGTTGCATTTAGTCAGAAGAAACAACAAAAGCTTTTACGACCTTGCTAAGATTTACAAATCTGACAGAAATTGGTTCTATCGCGAAAACTTACCGATTTCAATGACACCGAATGAAGATGTGAAACAAATAGTTCAAGATACGTTACCTCAAACTCACTATGATATGAAAGGTTGTACAATACTTACATTCAAAGAAGATTTGCCATTGTTAAAGGAAAAAATAACAGAGTATTTTGACAACTTCAAACAAGTAGAGTAGATGAACCATTTATTTTTCAAGCTTGACTTCAGATGGCTCAGGTAGCTCTATAAGGTAAATTGTCTCGTCAAATCCTTCTGGCATTCCGAGTCCTTCCTTCCGACAAGAAAAAAATTTCCCGACAACTGGAAAAAAATTTCCCGACAACTGGAAAAAATTTTCCAGTTGTCCGTCCGTAAACCATTCAAATTTTCGAAAATTGAGAACTTTTTTCCCGACAACTGGAAAAATTTTTCCCGACAACTGGAAAAAAATTTCCCGACAACTGGAAAAATTTTTCCCGACAACTGGAAAAGTTCTTCCTTCCGACAGGACACAAACGAATGTCTCGCGTTCCTCTTCCTGAATGCCTTCCAAAGCCAGAAGAACCGACAGCCCCAGCACCACAACAGACTTACTAAGACTAAACACTTAGATTTTTCAAGCTTGACTTTTTACAATTTGAACTTTGTTTGCGTAGATATGAATTCTGAAAGAAGTATGAGGGTCTTGTATGACTTTATACTTCTCCCATAGTTCATGTCTGTCAAACTTACCTGCCATGGACTCTTTCATAAGTTCCATGAAATCGTCTTCGGACAATCCGGGGAAAAGTATAATGTCAGTAAGTATTCTCTTTACATCCTTACTTAAACTCTTTGCTGTCTGTACACATATTACGACTGAGATGTTAAAGTGTCTGAGCTTCTTAAGAATTCGACACATATCTTGTTCTCTGTTCTTTAACAAAGGATGAGAGGCGAAATCATCTAAGATAAGAAGACATCTGTGAGGGTAAGTCTTCCAATCGTAAGATTGCAATTTCTTCGAAATGTATTCTATCTCTTTCTGTTTGTTTCTGAAGTGTTTCTTCTCTAATATTCTCTGCATTTCCTCATTTGGGTCTTTAAACTTAGAATTGACATACTCATTTATAGCATTGTACTTCAAAACTCTTCTTTGGTACTTCTTTATCCAATCTAACAACTCAGTATCCTTTATACATACTAACTTAGACTTTTTTATAATATCTTTGAACGAATTGACGGTTTGGTCAAATTGACCAGAAGTACTACAAATGACTACTAACTCATAGAATGGGTTCTTCTCATCTAGTTCTTGTTGTTGTGCAGCCATTTTAAGATAAGTGAAAGTCTTGCCCGACCCAGGTGGTGCGATTAGACCTGTTATACCATTCTGAGCAAATAAGAACTTGTCATGTATAGGCTTTATCTGAGCATTTTCTAACTTCCTCTTGTTCTTCTTCAAAACATTCTCAAATTTCTTGTCAATGTCAGCAAACTTTTTTTCTAACATATTTTTAGAAAAATTAAAATTTTTATCTTTTAGAAAATGTCTAGCGATTTCGCTATCTATATTCGAGACAAACTTTTTGACAGCAAAACATCTGTCGACCATAAAATCTTACATAGTGTAAACAAGAAAGGGGAATTTGTTCTAAAGTTCTGTTTCTGGGAATATGACAAGAACCATAAAACATTAAGCAGAGAAGTCTTTAAGTTTGTTCAATGACAGACTTGTTGACAGAGATGACGCCGATTGGAAAGATGAAGTCCAAACAAAAGTTCTTAGAATGCAAAGAAGACACATGCGCTGTTCTTGAAGATGAAATAGAAAACAGAATAGATGAGCTATTAAAGGACAAAGAACTTTTACATAAATATGGTTGCGCCAAATTTGAATAACTCCACCAGAGAAGAAGAAGAAGAGAGAAAAGAAAGAAAAGAAAGTAGAAGAAGAGAAAGAAAGAACCTGAACCAGTTCAGAGAAAAAAGAAATTTGACATGTAAAAATAAACTTTTATTTTTAGAACATTTCTGGGTCAATGTCAATGTTCTCTTCCTCTTTAGGAGCAAACACTGGCTTAGACTCTAAAATCTTTTTACCCAATTTACCTTGAACTTCAACTATCTTAGACTCATAATATTCATAGTCGTCTGTCTTCTTTGGTTCATAAGGTATAACAAGTTTGTATGCTTTACCTTCTTCGAGTTTTGAGAACTTTCTGTCAAAATTTTCTTTGACTGTCAACATACCGTCAATGTATAAGTCTTCAAAAGTTGCACCACTTTTTCTAACAACAGCAAACTTAACTGGTGCAATGTTCCAAATTTTGTCAAATGTAGACTTTTCAAAATTGTAGAAGTAAACATTCAAATATGCGAATGGAGCTAACTTATCTTTGACTTCTGTCATGTACTTGTTTACTGAGATGAATTTCGTCATCTTTTCTATCGGATAAAAAAAATATTTTTTTTAAATTTACTCAGAAAAATTTTTCTTTGTATATACACCATTCTGAACATCTAAAAGATTTTTGACATTTGCCAAGAATGTTCGTTTAGACGCTGCCATATAACCATATTCTTGACAATATTGTTTATACGAATCGTACAATGACCTTTCATCTAATGACACAAAGTCAGTTTCATCTATGAACAGTTCATATACACTCTTGTTTGCTTCTAACAATGTTTGTCTCTCTTCGGTATGTGGAATTTGTCTTGGATTGAACTTAGAAATATCTAATGTCATAAAGTATGAGAACAAGTGGTTGTAAAAGTCAGATGTCAAAGTTTCTGCTAAGTCGTCAAAATATTCTGTATCTTGCATATGAGAATCTGACGTTCTGATAACTACATATCTTCTGTCAGAACTTTCTAACTTCATCGGAACAGCATTGTTTGAAACCATAATGAAGTTTGCAACATTTTCACAAACTCTTTGGTCTTTATACTTTCTTTCAACAACTCCAACTTTGTCTGTTATAAGACTCTTCAAAGCATCTGAGTTCAAAACTTTTGTTGTATCTATACTTTGAAGTTCGTTACATACTATAAGTTTCATATTCTCTATTGAAGAGTTAAATTTACCGCAGATGTTTTCTAAGTTTGTCATATTCGGATTCGAATAACCTTCTAACAGTTTGCACAAAATATCTGTAAAGAAAGTGTTCTTACCAGTTCCTTGTTTTCCAATTATAATGAGAGCAGTTTCATTTTTAGCACTTGGATGTTGTAAGATGTTTGCAAACCAACATAAGATATACTCATAGACTCTTTCGTTTCCATTGCATATAATTTCTTTGACATGGTCTAACCAAGCTTCTATAATATTTTCTTTCCATTCTACTTGTTCGTATTTATATCCAGTGAAGATAGAATAGAAGTTTGGAGAAGGTGTATAAAACTTTATACCTCGAACTGAAAAATCTTCTAACTTTGACAATAAGATATCCCAAGCATCTAACATCTTCATTCCAACTTGTACAACTTTTATTTTCTTAAGTTTCTGTCTACATTCTTGTTCAGACACTATTGTTGCTCTTGGTTTGTTAAAGACAACATCCCATTCTTTCATGACATAACATTCTGGGGCAGAGTCAACATAAATGACTAAACGTTTCAAATTCTCGACTGCTTTGTTATAGTCTCGAAATGGACACATATTTCTGAATGCTTGGAAGTCATAAAAATCTGAAACATCTATTCTGTACATTTTTATAAAAATAAAAAAAAATATTTTTTTTATTCTTGACTTTGTTGTTGCATTTGTTGCATTTGTTGTTCTTGAGCTATTTGTTGTTGAAGTTGTTTCTTGTAATACAATACTTTCACCGGTTGCATCTTCCAATTCGAAACTTTCTGCCGTCATTGACAAATACATAGGACATAAAAGTTTTACAGGAACAAGTTTGCGTCAACTAATGTCAACGTTATACTTGCCAAAGTGTTTGAGTTCACTAAGGTTGAAAATTCTGCATTCGAATGAACAATAGGCAAACCAGCAGAGAAAGTATTGTTTATACGCATAAGTATCTTTTGGTCATAATAGTTTCTGTCGACATTCGAATAACACTTTGAACCTAAGTTTGAAACAATATATAAGATTGGTGTGCTTAATGTCATGGAATAGACATTCCTTGTATGACACCTTTTCCTGTTATAGGAAACTGTTGGTAGTAAAAACCAGATATAAGTTTTGTATTATAGCTCATATCGTTTATAGTAAACTCAGTCGGACATCCAAACATAATGAAACCTGCTCTAGTTGCAGCACATGTTACATCCGTCCTTAAAGTATTAAATAAGTCAAACAAAACCTGTTGGTGGTATATCTGAGTAAGTATCTTCAAAGGAGTATTTTTTACCATTCACAACAATAAAATCTTCTGGTGTCAAAAGAGCAAAACAAGCTTTAGTCGTCATTGTGTTTAAGGTTAGTTTACAATATCGTCCTTGAGGACTTTGTAAGTTTGTTGTTATAGAATTATATGACTCAGGGTTTTTAGTCGTAATAGTATAAACCATTATATCTTCTGCCATTTACTTAGCAAATAAATTTTGAAATGTTGTGGTCGTCAAATATTTTTATGACGTCTGGGAAACTATACTTTAAGTTCAACGTTTCACCTCCTTTCATAACGTATATCTTGTCAATGACATTATATGAAACACCACAGCAACTAAATGTCGGGTTCTATTTCTTTGATGTTTATATCGTCTGCCTCTGTCAAAAGTTTCAATAGTTTTCTTTCAAAACTTCATGAGGTGCAATGACATATGAGTTCACTTTTACAGGGTTGTGTTCGACCAAGTTTAACATTATACCTAAAGCTTGACAAATCTTCTCCTGAGTTTGAAGTTTGTCTTTCAGTTGTTGGTAGTCGTTTCGAATATCTGCAACAGAACTTAAGTCTCTGCTAAACTTCAGGATATGTTGGTTCTTTTTACAGGAACTATTGTTATACCATCTTGGTCTTCGTATGGTTTCCCCACTTCAACATCTCTTTCTTTGACATTGACAACAACACTTTGACTGTTTGTTTTGAGTTGGTGAATTTAACTTCACATCTGCCACACCGCCATTAAACCTTTTGAAACACTCACGCTTCTATTTTTCGGAAATGACATTTTACTTAGAATAAAAAGATGGACGTATTTGAGTATCTCTTCGAATTGAAGCAAAACAAAGTTTACACACACAAACAATACAAGTTTCATTGACAGAGTAGTTCTTTACACAAACAATGGAAAATGTTATAGAATAGCAGTCTTTGCTGAACCAAAATATTTTCATAAAGCAAAGAAAGTTGGTAAGTACCGAGATGGTGAAAGTTCTTGAAGCAGACAAAAATATAACAACAAAACTGACCGATATTTCTAAAGGAAAGTTTTATCTTACAATTTTATGTCAAACTGGCGTACTGTCAATATTTGACGGAGAGAAGTCAGTTCAAGAACAACTTACTGACCTGCTGCAAAATCTGCTCGATGGAAGCTGTCGTTATGCCAATCTGAGGGAGCCCCAGCAGGTTTCATCGAACGAATCTTCAAAAGAGCATCTTCCGTGAAAAGTGCTATTGGTTTTGTAAACTTCTTTGCTCTCAGTTCATCTGGACCGTCTCTGTCACCAGTATATTGTATTTGTACAGTACCAACAGTTGAAATACCACCCATAAAGTCTTCTGAGTCAGCAAATGGAATGCCAAGCCAAAGTTTGAACGGTCTCCATTTGTATATTGAGTTTTTTTGACCTCCTGTATGAGTCCATACTTTCACATATGGCATAATAGAACTTTGCATTTCAGGGTTAATGGTTGTTGTGAAGTTGTTGTTAAAGTTCATAGCATCTAATGTCAAGTTGTATGACCTCATATCCTCAACTGTAGAATATTCTTCTCTTGGATAGTATTTGCCATCTATGTTTATATGGTATTTAATACCAGGGTTGTAGAAGCAAGAATAGTCATTTATAGTTCGTCTGAACAGTACAAACATAGTATCTGCATGTTTCATTGCAGTTGTTAAAGCAATATCTGTTCTTGCACCTGGGTCAGCACTTTGGTTTCCAACTTCACCTGCAAAGTCTTTGACAGATATTTGGTGTATAGGGAACATAAGTGGAACTGCAATATATTTGGCAGCTAAAGCATTTGAAATATCTGGGTCCAACATGATAGACTGCAAGTCCTGCTTTCTATTCTCTTGCATTCAAATTTTTTCGCATGTGAACTTAACTGGGTCCCAAAGCATCTCCAGCAGCATTGAAATAATAGTTTACTTCAGTGTTGAGGTTTGAGAAACCAAAGTCTAAGTCAACTTTGTTTTTGCAAAGTCGGCGAATGACGTTTATTTGTTCCCACTACGTCTGTAAGAGTGAATGGGTCTTGCGTGGTGCAATGACTAAGTTATTTTTTGCTTGGAGTAAGTTCGATAGAAATTTTTCCTGCCCAGTTTTGGCAAGTATCTTAAAAAACCTGAAGATGAGGAAAGATGACAAAGGAACTCTAAGTTTCAGTTTTACTTTGGTTACTGCTGCTGCAGTTTGTCCAGAAAGGTTAACATAAACTCCTGGAACGTTAGGGTCAAGTCTTCTTATTTTTCAATGGTGGCATACTGGTCTGTTTGTTCTCTAGCTTGTGGTTGTACTGAGTTTCTCAAAGCGAACCATTCATAGTTTGCCCATGTTACTGTTTGAACTAAGTCAAGAGTTAGAATATATCTTATATCCCATGAAAACTTCTGGAGCATATTGGGTATCCGACATAGAAAATTCCATTGCAACCTTTCTTGTCAGACAACTTGGCAGAAGGTTTTTATTTCAATGTCTTGTTCCACGTATAAGAAAGAGTTGTCAATAGAAATTATATGAACCTGTCGCAAGCAATATCTACTGTTGTTGAAGAACCTTCTCCAAACTCACCTACGTTTCCATAAGAAACAGCAGTTGTATATTCGTAAGTTCCAGGAACTATTTCTGACCTTCTAATGGCATTGTCGCATTCGTTATACCATTCGGAAACATTTCCATTCATAGCATCCAAAACTGTTGGCGTTATATTCTGAGCGGCGTACATTTCATATGAGTAAAAATATAGAATAGTTGGATTTATATGTCATAATAACCACGTGGACCAAGCTTTACTTTCTTCCTGACTGAGTTTTTAACTCTTCTTTTTCCTTCATTGCCCTCTGCTTGAAGTTGTTGCATCTTTGCATTATGTTCATCTAGTATGTTGCAAATTTCCCATGTCCTTTTTGCCTTTTTGGCTCTGGTCGCCCATCTCAGGTAACCTATATCCTAGAAAGAGTTTGTCATAGTCTGTATTTGAGTCTTCGCGTATTGTTTGCATGACTCTTTCCTGAGTTTCCGGTTCAAGCTCTTCAAACAGTGCCTGTCCATATGGAATATGCTCGTTTCCAAATATATGTTTTTGTAGCCATTCTGGTTTTCTTTCCATGTTACCAACTATATCTTTTGTGAATGGGAAAGCTTTTACCCAATCTTTCAGTCTTGCGTCGTTTATTTCTGTAGTTGGTTTTATTTTGTCAAGGAACATGTTTTTCAATACTAACATTTCATTTGGTACTGTCCATTTGAGTTTTCTTAAATATTCATCCCTTCTCATTTCATTGTCTGCAAAGTAAGTTTTTATGACATTTTGCAAACTTTCGTTTGCAAGGTCATGTACAATAGGTTCTCTTCCTTCTCCCTCCCTAACTTTCTTTCTAAACTCTTCACCAAATATACCATCTCTATGGTTCTGTGTAGTTCTTTGAGATAAATGTTCTAGAACGTCAGGTGTTATATTTCCATCAGCCATGTTCATTTCATACTGGTCCAAAATATCTGCATGTTTCATATCTTTCAATGGCATTAAAGCCGCGCTTAAAATACCAGCTATATCTTGTTCACCATTGACTTCCATTGCGTCTACAACTTCTTGGAATTGTGGTTGTAAGTTTATGAACCACCTATCCGGATTAGCTTTATGACCCCATCTCATTGTAGTTCCATCGTCTGCAGAAACAAAAGTAGGTTTGTTTCCATCTTGGTTAGGTTCTGAATGAACTTTAAACAATGTTTCATTTCTATATGTTTTCTTGAAATTTAACCTTTTATTTTCACCGAGTTCATCCGAAGATTGAACGTTAAATGCTCGTAAGTAAAAAGGTTGTTGTATTTGTGTACATTTTTTTCAGTTCTTCCATTCTATGCTGGATATTTTCATCTGATGTTGGAGTCTTTTGTATGTCGGCAAACATTTTTCGATATTCTTCTACTATGTCAGCCGAATTTTTTTTTAGACTCTTGGAAATATTCCATATTCTCCGCATACTCTTGTTGAGGGTCAAGATTTTTCGGCTGTTCCAAATCTTCATCTAGTTCTGTGAAGTTAGTTTCCAAAGGAAGGACTTGTTCGTTTCCTTCAGGCTCTTCTAGCTGTTGTTGCTGAACTATTTCTTCCATGTCTGGTTGTATCTGAACTTCTTCCTGTGGAGTTTCTTGTACCTCATCTGCTGGCATTTCATATATTCCGAGACCGTTTTCAACAATTTCCCTATCTACGTCATCCGCATTCATAAGCTTTTGTTCTTTCGTTCCGTCTCTATTTTTTTACGCGTTTCATGACGAAAGTTGAATTGTCATTTAGCTCTGACATCAAATATCTCGGAGTAAATTCATCCATGTCATTTGGATGATATGCTATTAAATCATATCCCTTAGCGAGCTTGTATTTTCCAGGTTTGAGATTATATCCGTTTTGGTGCTGAGCCATAAAGCTAAATAGGTTCGGGTCAGTATTTTCCATCCTTGAACTTTCCAATAGCTTCTTTATATCTGTCACTAAAGTCAACAGTATCTGGGAAACCACACTCTTCTTTAAGCATTTTTAAGAATTCTTGGTTTCCTTGTTCTCTACTTCTTTTATGTCCTTGCTCTGTTTGTGGTTGTTGTTGTGCAGGGTTTTGAACTGTTGGTTGCTGTGCTGGTTGTTGTGTTGGTTGTTGTGCTGGTTGTGGAGGTGGTTGTTGTGCTGGTTGTTGTGCATGCCTGTGTCTGTGTCCATGTGACGATGTAAATGTTCTAGGTAGTCCTGGTGCAGGTGCTTCTCTTGGAGGGTTTGGTGGTATATAAGTTCCACCAGCTGGCACATATGTTCCATCTGCAGCGTAATGTCCTACCTGACTTTTCGTTTTTAAGAAAGCATTTACTAGGTCTGTTTTGGTCTGTTGTAACTCTTTTTCTTGACTTTTCACAACAGTTGCTCTAACGGCGTCATAGGCACTTTGAACTGCCTGTCTCGTTGCTGCATCTGTTATTTTCGTCATATTTTGTGCTACTTCTTTTAACTCTTTGTCGAAACCTTCAGACTTCAGTTTCTTTCCAGATGAGAAGTCGTTCACTTGTTTCACCTTACTATGAAGAGCTTCGAAAGCGTTCTTAAAGTCAGCATTTGTTAAAGCTTCATTTGAACTGTCTTCATCCGCTTGTATTTTTGTCCTTATTGACCCTATGAGTTGGGCTGCTTTAGCGTTGGCTTGGGCATCTAACCAGTCATTATTAGCTTTTATATATTCTGCGCTTTTCATTGCCTTTTGCATGGCTGCGTCGTTATTTTTACTTTCTTGTGCTAAGTTTTCATACTGTACGGTTTGGTTTTGCAACTGTAAAAGTTTTTCTGCCTTTACATTTGCTTCAACTTCTTTTTTATACTCATCGCTATCCATATATGTCTTCAGGGCTTTTTGTTTTATTTCTTCATCTTTCAGTACTTTATATTGAGTAGTATGGTTTTTCAAATTTATGACATCTTGTTCCATTTTTGCTACTTCTGCTGCTTTTTCTGACACTTTTTTCGCATATTCCTCTGTACTTAGTTCTTTCAGTTGTTCTTCTTTCTTCTTTTTCTCTACGTTTAACTCATTGAGTTTCTTTGTGTGTCTGTCATATTCTAGTTTCTTTTCGTTTTCACTTATTTGTTTCTGTATGTCTATGTTTGACTTTTTGACATCTGTTATTTGATTTTTGAGTGAACTCAAATTCATTTGACTTTGAGGGTTATAAGCTGTTCCGTCTGCAGCTCCACCATAGCCTGCCATTTTCGCTAAAAGTGCCGCTCTTAAACCTCCACTTTGTGCACCAATAACTCGGTTTAAAAGCATAGGGTTGCTTGACATTTGTTGCAACATAGTGGGGTCATTCATAATTTGTTGTTGCAACTGTTGTTGTGGTGTTAGTTTTACTATTGGATGTTTCAATGCTCTCTTCCTCTTACGTATATTCTTACGTAGCTTACGTGGCATTTTAAGTGAAGTTAAAAACATTTACGATGAAGAAGTCTTGACAAAACATTTACGATGAAATCATGAAAATTCATGAGGTGAGAAAACAGGTGAGAAAAGAGGTGACATCTCACCTCTTCACCTAAATTATATTTTTGGGTCATTTACGCTCATTACGAAGAAGTCTTGACAAAACATTTACGAAGAAGTCTTGACAAAACATTTACGAAGAAGTCTTGACAAAACATTTACGAAGAAGTCTTGACAAAACATTTACGAAGAAGTCTTGACAAAACATATACGATGAAATTCATGAGTTTTCTACGATGTTAGAAAACATGTTAGAAAAGGTGTTAGATCTAACATTCTAACATAAACATTATTTTTTGGTCATTTACGCTCATTACGATGAAATCATGACAAAACATTTACGAAGAAGTCTTGACAAAACATTTACGAAGAAGTCTTGACAAAACATTTACGAAGAAGTCTTGACAAAACATTTACGATGAAGTCTTGACAAAAAAGTCAACGGCTGGTCGGCTGGGGTTCGGTCCTCCTCTTGGGTCTTGGGAAAAATTCTTAGGGCTAGAAGGCACGAAGTGCCTGGAAGCCCCACTCCTTTTTTTTTTTTTTTTTTTTTTTTTTTTTAATATTATATAAAAAGTCTCTTTAATATCTATATTTCATATTTTTATCGATTTTTAAAGTTTTTGCGAAAAGTATTCAATTATTTTTGCTATTTGGTCGGGGAAATGTCAGATTTGCGACATTTTCTGATATGATATTCAGATTCTACGTTGATAATAATGCTTATAGAACCCTCTTGCTATTGTGTCAAAATTGCGAAACCGACAGCAAAAATATCTCGCAATATCAAAATTGAGATATTGAGTGAATTATGCATTATAGAGATTAAAAATCTGATTTGTGAAAACATCTCATCAGTTTCTAGCTAATTCAAAAATCTTTACTATCTTATTCGATTAAAATGAAAAGGGAATAGTTTCATTATGCTTTAAATGACAGCCTTATAATATAATCATAGTTTTCGCTCAATATGCAGCATTTTTTTTCGAAATCTATGGTCAATATCCTAAATACTGATTGCTTTGCATTCATATCTCTTACATTTTCTATATCCACATCACTATTCATTGCTATTCCTATCTTTTTCATTTTTGTTTGTTTCTCATAATTTCTCAAAAAACATGATAACTTGATATTTGTAAATATCATACTTTATAACGTAAATAAGAACTTGACCTATTAAGAAAAGCAGTAATGAAAAGAAAATCTGAAATTCATAAAAATTACAAGTTTCTGATGACAATTAGCTTAATTAAACCAGGTACAAGATTATATAATTGTATTTTCTATCCAATTATCCATATAATATCTTATCCAGAAAAAAAAACTTGATCAATACCAAATGATTTTTTAACTAGTAAATAAAGTATTTTCTTTACACACACATTGTATATCATAGTTTTTTTTTTTGGTTTCGCAAAACATCCAAAAACAAATATGCTATAAAAGTGACAATTTTAGCAAAACGAAACCCTTATATAAAAAGAATTTTGGTAGTGTTTATTGAAGTTTTGCATAATTATTTTTCTTATTTAAGCATATTTTCGTGAAATATAGAGTGCTTTTATGAAAATTCAATGCAACTAGATAAAGATATAGGAACTTAACTTTAGTAATTTCATTATTTCATTGAATTAGCAAAATCTGGGTGAATAACTATATAATTTTTGATTTTCTTTGATAATATCACTGTGAGAATTAGCACAAATCTGTTGGTTCTGTGATGTGTGATTCATTCTTTGTTTTGAATGAAATTCTTTTTTTATAACGTATTTTTGTAAATTTGATTGAAAAAACATTTTTTCATTGTTATGTACGACGGAAAGACAGTTTGGTATCCTGAGAACATCGATGAAAAGCGCCAATATTGCACAACATCATACAGACACGATGTCGCTCATTGGGGCGGCAGAACTTTCCAAATGAATGAATCAGAAACAGTTAATGTCGACGTTAATAAAGTTGCAACACAAAAGCGATCAATCATGAGACAAGTTCAAGATCTCAACGAATTTGGGTCTACAGTAACACCAGAATCTACACAAAGAGCCCATTATGTTGCTCATATGCCAACAACCCGTGGATTAAATGAGCCACAATTCAATGGTCGGGTCCCTCCAGAAATGCCACTTCCAGAAGCTCCAGATCCAAAGTTCTTTACAGCTGCAACAGAATATCGTGACAAATATCGCGGCAAACCAGGTAAGCCAATGCTCAACAATGATACGTTAGACTTTTGTGCATCAACAAGAGTTATGACTCGTGGAATAGAAGATCCAGAACAGCCTCCATTGTGGGAAACAACATATCGTAAGGATTATTGCAATAAGGTTGGTAATCTCGAAACGTCTCCAGCTATTACATCCCATACATTAGGTAACCCAAGATAAAATATATAATTCTTTTGAAATGATAATAAAAACTTTTATTTGCATGGAATTAACTAATCATATCTTTACTAATCATTAATATATTATAATTTGTTTTTAGAAATATAAAACAACCTTTAGATACATCATATTTAACTTAATATCTCATTGAAATTTATATTCATTCATTACATACATCATCAAATAATTGCATTGATATTTTGGACCCCAAATAATATCAATATCTAGTTTTAATTCTATATTACTTCAGAATTGAAATGAATCAAAGCAGCTAAAATTGCTGTTTAAAAGTGGATAAAAGAAATCTACTATTTCTAATATAGGAACATTATAATTATGGAAAAATTAATTATAAGATGATTAATTAGTTTATTAATAGATCAGATAGTTTTTAGATATTTCAATACATTAACTTTTGCATGTGAAAGAGCTGTGATACCATTATTATCCATTGCTAATTTATCAGCTCCAGCTTTGATAAGGCATTGTGCAACTTCAAGATGATCATTAAACGATGCAGCAATAAGAGGAGTCCATCCTTCGTTATCTTTTGCTTCAATATTAGCGCCTTCTTTGATAAGATATTCCACAACTTCAATATTTCCATTATAAGCTGCAGCAATAAGTGAAGTTAGCCCATTATTCTTCTTTGCCTCTTTATTAGCTCCAACAGAAATAAGGTATTTAACGATATCAATTTTGTCACAAAATGATGCAACAATTAGTGAAGTGTACCCATCATTATCCCTTGCTTCTATATTAGCTCCTGCAAAGATTAGATATTTAACAACATCTAAATGATCATTATATACTGCTGCAATAAGTGCTGTGCTTCCGCTGTTATTTCTAGCTTCGATATTTGCTCCAATTGAAAGATAATACTTAACAATATCAAGGAAACCTTTTTCTGCCGCGTTAATGAGTGGGGTATATCCATAGCTATCTTTCGTTTCAATGTTAACACCACATTCAATGAGTGCTTTGATAAGTTTCAGATTACCTTTTGTAGTTGCTTCATTAAGCATTGTTTGACCATATTTGTTTTTCTTTTCATCAAGAATTTCTTTTGATGCCTTTGGTATAACTGTTTGACTTCCTTTTTCTGTGAGTTCATCAAGGAATCTGTAGCTTGTTTCGAAATTACTTGTTCTGATTTTATTCATAATTTCATTCCACCATGAAAAATGGTTATTGTTATTGTTTGGATTTTTTGATCTCTTTAATGAATGACGAAGTGCTTTGTTATAATTGAAACAATTATTGCCATCGTCTAACTCATCAATTAAATCAATGATTTCGTCGCTGCAAAATTCAAAATTGATGTATTCGATCAATGGATTGAAAGATTCACTTTCTTTAACAAGAGAAAAGATGAATCTAGCTAAAGAATCTTCATCTAATATGCCGAGTTTTTCATTACCAAGTATCTTTTCAAAAATATCGAATCCAAAATTTTTGGCAATTGCACTAAGCTGAGATTCGTCAATTTTGTAGAAATGAGAAGAGATAAAGTCAATGCACTCCTGTATCTTTTTCTTGTCGTCAATACCGACGTAGAATTCAAGCATTTTTACGCAAGTATTTTCATCCAATTTCAATCTTTCTGCAATATTATTTTTGTATAAATCAGTTAATTCCTTGATCTGCAGTTGTATTCCAACATGGGCAAGATCTGTTAAAACAGTTTCATTGCATTCGATTTCTTGAATGTTATATTGAAGTATAGATTCTAATACTCTATATGTATCTTGTGATGCAATATCAGTGTTAATCTGAATTTTCGATATTTCGTTGTTTAATTGATATTCTGCACAAAATTTTTGGGAAAGTGCGATTGCCATGGATTTATGTAACTCGATTTCTTTTTTATTGACTGTCAATATAACAGTATCATGGATTTGGTAAGTATTAATCCTCTGGAGTATTGAATTATCAAGCTGAATTCTTACCATTTTCCAAAAAAATTGACGGTTTTTTTATTAAATGTGCTTGAGCGGGTGTCATTTTAAAACGCATTTTCGGAAAATTCGTTATATAGGTTCATGCTGCTCCTGTAGTGAATAATCACAAATTGATTGTGATGGAAAAATTATAATTCTTTTTTCACTTCAAAATTTTTGAATCGAGCCTTGTAATTTTTTCAAAAACTGAGTTTTTGAATTGAAGAGAAATTGAAGTGAAATTTGAGGAAACATTTTGGGTCATTTTAACCTTTGTCCAGCCTCTTTTAATAAATATTGTAGAAAAAGGGGAAAAATTCGTCGACAACAAAGGTATCGACCAAAAATGTTCCCATTATGCTTGACATATTGTTGCATGCTAAGTTCGGTCAAAATGTAAACCTCTCAATTTTATCGTCGGGGGAAGTAACTCAATTCCTTCAAAATTATTCTTTAAATATTGAATTTAAAGTTATTTAATTTGGATTATAAATAAATAGGCTAATACAATATTTAAAAATGAGAAAAAATAACTTTTCAAAGAACTTTTCATAATCTCAAAGAAAATTTTTTATTCAATAATTATATAAATTAATTAACATTCATAATGAAATTGGATTTTTTTTATAAAAAATTGGTCCTACTTAACTTTTTGAGAGAATTTGGCTTTCTCGTAAACGAAAAAGGGGATTTGACTCCGTCAAATCCCGCTCACAAAAAGTGGACTTTACATGTCAAATTTTATATGCATGTAATGTCCACTTTATGAGTTTTAGGAAGGAATTGGAAGCCATGAGTTACTGACATTGCATCAGTATCTCATAGCCTCCAATTCCTTCAAAAAATGGGAGAAACTTTGTCCGAATAGTTTAACATTCGGACAAAGTTTCTCCCATTTTAAGAAGGAATTGGAGGGTAAGAGATATACCATATGAATGTATATCTCTTACCTCCAATTCCTTCTAGAAAGTGTCCAAACTTTGGGTTAATTGCAAAGTATTAACCCAAAGTTTGGACACTTTCAAGTGGAGATGGAAGGCTTTGGGTATATATTAATACAATATACCTCAAAGCCTTCCATCTCCACTACAAATGTGAGAAACTTTGTCCGAATAGTTTAACATTCGGAGAAAGTTTCTCCCATCTTTCAATGTAATTGCTACCTGTGAGGTACTGACTTGAAGTCAGTGCTTCACAGGTAGCAATATCCAAAAATTTAAAAACATTTTATCAGTTCGTTAGAGAACTAGAGCCTCCTAGGTACTGAACCAGAATCAGTGCCTAGTGGACTCTAGTGATCTATATAAATCTGAGAAACTTTGAGGAAATTGTTCGACATTTCCTCAAAGTTTCTCAGCAATTTAGCGAGGAATGTTCGTTATCGTGTAGATATTTATAATATATACATGATAACAAACATTCCCCGCTAAAAGATGTAAAATCTTATAAGAAATAATTGCAAAAGAATAACAAATTGCAACAAATTTTATATGAAACTGAACCTTATGAGGTAGTGATTCAAGATCACCGCCTCATAAGATTCAGTTTCAATCTCAAGTATCTCAAAAGTAAGGCTCTATTTTTTGCCATGTAAAGTGTCACTTTTTCTGTCCAAATGATAAGTTATTCAGAGAAAGTTTCCCAGCTATCAAGAGGGAATTGTTCCTTATGAGGTATATATTCATACTGTATACCTCATAAGGAACAATTCCCTCCTTAAAACGAGAAAACTTGTTCGAAATTGTTTATCATTTCGAACAAGTTTTCTCGTTTTTAATAAGAAACTAAAGGCTATGAGGCACTGATTATATATTAGTGCCTCACAGCCTTTAGTTTCTAATAGATAGCTGGGAAACTTTCTCCAAATGATAAGTTATTCAGAGAAAGTTTCCCAGCTATCAAGAGGGAATTGTTCCTTATGAGGTATATAGTTATAATGTATACCTCATAAGGAACAATTCCCTCATTAAAATCGTAGATATTTTTTACTTATTACTCATGCTTTCAAAATCACAATCCTCTGAAAAGTTATTTTTTATTAAGAATTTAGAATTTTGATAAATACCTTTTTTCAATTTGATATAATACTTATATATTTTCAAAAAGACATTTTGAAAAGATATCTCAAAAGTTCTCTGAAAACCTATTTTTGATTAATTTTGAGAAATATCCGTATTAAATTAATCAATAAATTCATTCAACACTACTTTAATTTTTAAATTCAAAAAATTATATGTGCTTCTTAAAATGTCTCACAAAAATTTTATTATAAAATTATATACAATATTAAAAATCCCACAACATTTTTTACTTTACATAATCGTACTTCCTCGACGATTAATTTCCCCTCAATTCCTATTGTTGACCGAACTTAGCATGCAACAATATGAAGTATAGTAATAGTGTATGGATTCATAGAATGGCTTTCGTTTGATTTCGAGATATATTATGATCTTCTAAAATATACATATTTTACTTGATAACGCATATATTTTATCGTATTATGAAAATTAAACGAAAAATATGCTCAAGAAGAGCAAAATTCGATGCTAAAAAAGTAAATTGTTTATTGATTAGAGTGCTTTCAGGTATTTTTGTGACGTAACACTTTACCCCTTTTTCTTTCTATATCTTTGTATAAAACATTCACAAATAAGGATTTAATATTAAAAATATTTTTCGAATCGGGTAAATTAATCGTTAGATCTTATATTTTAATAATCGTTTCTTCTTAAAATGAGAATGCGGTAATAGCAACTGTGTATGATAGTTCGAGTATTGTTAGATTGCGCGAAATTTTGATAAGTTTCGAAAACGATTTGCAGTGTGTTCAAATATATTAGAATTTAATAACATGTGATAACATCGACTGCAAACAAGCGACATTAAGTGATTGATGAAAATCGATATCAATATTTAAAATTTTCAAGGCTTTTTTGAGTGACAGCAATTGCTTTGGACTCCTAGACTGAAGTTCTCCTTGGTGAATTTCTCCAAATTTTTTTCCTTTTTAAAAAAGCCTATGCAATTTTCTGGAAAATGATAACGTTTTATTCAATTCTCGATTTTTTTTGTAAAAATGAGGTTAAAATTTTTGAATAGTTTAGTCGGTTTTTGCATTTTTAAAATGTTAGTCACCTTTCTCCTTCCAAAGTGAAAAAAAAAATGTTTAAAATATAAAAAGAATTTTTATTCGCATAGGCGACAAACAAGGATTTATAAATAAATAATGGGGCTTTGAGTATTGATCTGAATTGAATCAGATAATTAGCCGTAAAAAATCTTCTCATAACGATTTCTCATGCATGAAAGATAGCTATGAGTGGCGTTAATGAGGGCGTTTGATAATTGGAGTTGGACATAAAATTTGGAGATCTTAATTTTTGAGAATTTTGGTGCGATCTTACTGGTAAAAGCAAGAGTATGGAAGGAGATTGAACTGAGAAAAAAACTAGAGCATGCAAAAGAATCATGCTACAGCTTAGTTGAATGTCATTTATGCAAATAAAAATATCTTTTTCAAATTTCAAACAAATTTTTGCCACTTTTTGAAAGAAGATAAGGTAACAAACATTTTAAAATGCAAAACCTAGACTTAAACTATGCCGAAATGTGAGCTCACCGTTACGGTTTTTTTTTTTTTTGGGGCTCGCAAGCTCGCCCCCCAAAGAAAAAACCATAACGGTGACTAACATTTAGGAAAAATTTAAAATTTAAAGCAAAAAAAACCATTTTAATTGTGTTCTAAATTACTGAAGTCTTTTCATTTTTGTTATTCTATAATTTTTCTACTAAGGTATGTCAATTCTACAGCGAATCAAATAATTATTTTTCAATGATATAGAAAAGAGGGATAATTTCCAAAATTATAAATCACAAATATTTTACTATCAAATATAGTATATAATTTTATATAGGTAACCAGCCATTGTTAGTGATAAATAATTATTTCTGGTTCAAATTAAGGATTGGCTTCACATAATCGTTTGATTATGCCAAAATAGTACTTTGGCTATCATTGGTAATACGTAAGGTTGCTTTCTCAATTTGGCTATCATCGGAAATTTGTAAATTTCAAATTGAGAAAAAAAAAATCAATTTTAAATGAAATTTTTAAAAATTAATAGAGTCCTATTTTCAAAACAAGATGGAGATGTTTCTCACCATATTTATTAAATGATACACGCCGATAAAAGAAAGAAATACGTTTTCAAAAATTCTCAGAAAAAAAATGGATCCAATGATTCAGTCCGCCACAGCTGATCTCTCTCAGAGTCAGCGTGATGATCTTAGAACATATGTTCGCGAACATCCAGAAATCAGAACAATTCTCAAAGATTTCATGGCAAATCTTCTTATGGACAAACCAGAAAATCCAAAAGAATTTGCCGCAGAGTATTTCGGTAATCTTCAAAAAGTAGCAGTTCCTCCACCTAATCCTGAATGAAAAGAAATGAAATACAGTTAGTTCATTCATATATTTTAATTTTATTCGAATAATGCATGTCCTGCACTACGATATGATATGAAAATACATTTTAATGCTGTTTTATTGATAAATACTTAGAAATTTTTAAAATAATATCTATTTTATTAAATAAAAACTATTTTAATGTCTTCAGGCATAAACCATCCATTCACTGATAAGTCAATATGAATCCGAAACTAGATTTAATGCTCTGATGGAAAATTGGAGATATTTTGTTAGAAAAGTAGCGAACTACAATGGTGAGTTTATGAACCTTAGATATGTGCTATCTATATGTCAGAAAATCAGAAACCTTAGCATCGTGAATAAACTTCGATATCCAAATTTTATCGTAATCAATTCAATTTAATTTTTTAATGTTTTCTAATCCAAATTCCGATCCGAATCAACTGCCCACACAGACAGCATTCTCTCAACAGAGGATTGATGCCTGGAGACCATTGTTTACGCCAGCTGTTGTTGTTAGCTGTTTATTCGTTCTCGGAATAATTTTTTCCGGTTTTGGAATTTATCTTTACCTTACTTTCCAAAAGCAAGTCGATGTTGAAGTAAGATACGACGACCTTATGAATGGTACTGATACAATTGTTCCAATCACCGTTCCAAAGGCAATGAAAGGAAATGATATTTGGCTTTTCTACAAATTGACAAATTTCTACCAAAACCACAGAAGATATATGTACTCTCGCTCTCCAGCTCAGCTTCGTGGAGAATATGTCGGTTACAATACACTTAAATCTGAATGCGATGTTTGGACATCCCGAGGTGGATCATCTGATCCAAAAGACTTATACCTCCCATGCGGAGCCATTGCCTTGTCTTTCTTCAACGATACTTATCAATTTGTTGATAATTCGATTACTCTTCTTGATGCAGGTATTTCATGGAGATCAGACAGAGAAAAATTATTTAGAAAGATATCATCTAATTATACGGAAGGAATTGCATGGTTAGAAGCTATGAATGAGACAGGATTTCCAAATGGCCAACGAAATGAACATTTCATTGTTTGGATGAGAACAGCATCATTACCAACATTCGTTAAGCCATACTCTAGAGTTAGTAATCCATCTATTGCTGCTGGAACTTATTATTTGAATATTACAAATAATTATCCAATCGAAACCTTCTATGGTAAGAAATATATTTTACTTACAACACTCTCTCCATTTGGAGGCAAGAATATGATTTATCCTTATAGTTATTTGGTTTTTGGTGGATTGATGTTCTTCTTCTCAATTATGATCCTTATTTCAAGGATCTTCTGTTCAAGAACCCTCGGTGATACATCCTACGTCATTGCTGATCCTGAAAAATTTGATCAATTTAACTAATTTCATTATTTATTATTATCTGTACATGTTTATCACTTGTTTCATTTAATACTATTCTAAACTATTCTTTAAATCTGTTAATTTTCTAATTTAGTTCAAATTTTGAACAAAATTTAATTTATGCGATTAAAAAAAAATTTACACACCCAAGACAATAATAAAAGGCAGCAAAATAGTTTTTCACCTTCGTTTCTTATGTTTTAAAAAATATTAAAATTATTTTGCAGAAAATGCATCAAAACCGAACTTTGTGTATATTTGTTTAAATTCATAATAGAAAAAGATGATGAATGGATTGTTTTCGAAGTCATTTTGCCATAATGAGTACTGAAGAAGATCCTTATGAACCAGACCTTCTTCCTGTCTTTCCATTAGAGGATTTTGATGCGGAATTAATTAGATCAGTATGCCTTGAAGAAGTCGAAAAGGCATTTAAAGACCTTAAATATGAAAACCTCAAAAAAGATCGAATAATTACTTCGTTAACAAGCGATATTCTTACAAAAATTGCTCCAGATGGAAAAGGAGACTTTAAATATGTAACTCACTGTACAATAACGCCAAAACGAGCAGGCCCAATTGACATTTTTAGTAATAACTTTTGGGATCCTATGAATGATGGCATGAGTGTTGTTAACTATGAAAATGATGATATAAGTGTTGTTTTTATAATTTGGGGAATCAAAATAAAGAAACCAAAATTATAAAAAAAAAATTGCAATTTTTGTACAAGACTTATATTCCAGAAAGTATCGCCTCATTTCAAGCATAAGATTTAGTTTTCATGAATTTTCAAGTTAAAATTTTTATACCAAGTAGAAATTATATACAACTAACTCAAAAAATAATCAGATAATTCCCAAAGATCGAAATTCTTTCAATTAATTCCCATTCAAAAGAATAACACAAAATTTTACACTAAAATTTAATAGACAAAGGAGATTTCCTTAATTAATTTTAACTTGTGCTTGAAAGAAAAGTTTCAAATCATACGGATTGTCCAATACTTCTTAAACTTATTATTTGTTTATATTTGTAAAGAAATAATTGACTTATTATGTAAATCTATGTAAATATCTAGATCATTACATCTTTTTCTATAACTTCTATAATATTATTGAAGAGAAATATTTACTTTCTGATCGAAAGACAAATGCGCTAATTAATGAATAACAGATAATTAAATGAGGGACCTTGGATAATATATGTCTTAATAGTGAAATAACTCCTCTGACTATTTAAATATAGTAAGAGTTCTTTAAGACAAGGTCCTTCTGAAGTCTCTAATCGAAAGAGAGACTTCGGAAGGACTTTGCCAAATCATAGCACACAAGCACCCATGAAACTTTGCTGGGATCGGGGAGAAGTAGTTTATTATAGCGCAAGAGAGCAATTCCGATAATCTATTATGGCCATAAGTACAATATCTATTCAATCTTGCTACTGTATGCTAGTAGCTAGACTGAATAGATATTGTACTTATGACTTACAGAACTCTAATGATGGTTCTGATAAACCAATACTTGTTATCCCCAAAAAAATGACATCTTGGATGTATAATTGATATAAATATACTAAGATTTTAACGTTTAATCCTGCATAAAAATAATTGTGATACTATAGTAATACCCTACTTTTCCAACATTTAGAAAACATGCATGACCCCCTACCCAGGGTCCAAAAATTGGTATTTTCTGCGCTCAGGCAACATGAGTTTTTGGGCCGCCAAATGAATAGCTCAAATAGTTTCCTCATATAGAGACATGCTTATGCTTAGAGTTTGAAGGGAATCTAAAGTGATTTTTTTCTGCATTTCGAAATCTAATGCAATCTTAAAATCATGATTAAACTGCGAATCTGGGCGCAATTTTTTAATATGTTAATATATGAAGGTACTCCTACTACTGCGAATGCTTCAAATGAAAATTCAAGAAATCAGATTAATTTGATCACATTAGTATAGTAGTGGTCAATCCAAAAACTCATATGTTGATATATAACCTATAGAGATGATAATTATCGACTCTTCATTGAAATGCATAAGATTTAATAATCTCATAAATATTCTTTTTAATTTTCAGTATTTCGTGTGCATTTAGATTGCATATACCTGTATATGATATTTCTAGAATGTTTTGGTTAGATATTAAGTTTTTTAGATTAATATTTTAACATTTTGATAAAACAAGCAATTGTTCCATTTTGGAATCGCGATTGAACTCTAGTTTGACTAATATGATGTTGTATGATCAAATAAATTCTAACTTCATGAGATAAATTTTGAAATTAGAAAATGCGATATCTGACTCAAATATTTATGAACACATTTAACATTCAATGGATAACTAAAGTAATATACAGCAGATTCGATTTGGCTTATATTTTAAATATTCAACAAATAATCTTATAAAATTGTGCTATTCACGTTTCTCAAAGATGAATTAAGCATTTACAACTTGTGCATTGATGGAATTAGATATGGATTCTAATGTTAATCGATATTTTGTAAATTGATATATATTTTATCATGGTTTGACATTTGATCGTGTTGAAACCGGAATTGCAATATGCATCATCTATATATATAATTGTCAAAATATGAGCTATAGATTTTTAAATTATGCTCCTGATTATGAGTGACTTATATGATTATATTGAATTGAGTAGTAAGAATCATAAATATTAGAATATTACGATAATGTATTATAACCTTATAGAAGCTTAAGGCTAAAAATGATGATGAAAATGTAGCTCAAATTTAAGTCTAAAATTTTGAAAAAATTAAGTGCTTATGATAGTATGACGATATTGGTGTTTGAATGTAAGAAATTAGAGATGTATTAGAAGCATTATGAGAAAATAATAAGATATAAAAACAAATTTTATGAAATAATTTAAGTTATAAGAGGTGTTAACATTGGTAATGTGTGAATAAGATAGTAGAATTGTATTGGATCTTTGATTAGTATTTTATAACAATTTATTAATGTAGATGTGATTAGAATGTTGGATTTCAAAGGAGAAAGCGGATTGTTCACTCTTGTTGGTCTGCATGTGTCATTCCGGGAGACATTGCCTGTGCATGTCTCCCAGAATGGCATACTGTTCCGCATTCATAACTTGAATGCGGAACTTTGACCGACAAGAGTGCATTGTGCACTCTTGTTGGTCTGCATGTGTCATTCCGGGAGACATTGCCTGTGCATGTCTCCCAGAATGAGACAATTTATTGCAATCAGAATACGATTGCAAAACTTTGACCGACAAGAGTGCATTGTGCACTCTTGTTGGTCTGCATGTGTCATTCCGGGAGACATTGCCTGTGCATGTCTCCCAGAATGGCATACTGTTCCGCATTCATAACTTGAATGCGGAACTTTGACCGACAAGAGTGCATTGTGCACTCTTGTTGGTCTGCATGTGTCATTCCGGGAGACATTGCCTGTGCATGTCTCCCAGAACGAGACAATTTATTGCAATCAGAATACGATTGCAAAACTTTGACCGACAAGAGTGCATTGTGCACTCTTGTTGGTCTGCATGTGTCATTCCGGGAGACATTGCCTGTGCATGTCTCCCAGAATGGCATACTGTTCCGCATTCATAACTTGAATGCGGAACTTTGACCGACAAGAGTGCATTGTGCACTCTTGTTGGTCTGCATGTGTCATTCCGGGAGACATTGCCTGTGCATGTCTCCCAGAACGAGACAATTTATTGCAATCAGAATACGATTGCAAAACTTTGACCGACAAGAGTGTATTGTGCACTCTTGTTGGTCTGCATGTGTCATTCCGGGAGACATTGCCTGTGCATGTCTCCCAGAATGGCATACTGTTCCGCATTCATAACTTGAATGCGGAACTTTGACCGACAAGAGTGCATTGTGCACTCTTGTTGGTCTGCATGTGTCATTCCGGGAGACATTGCCTGTGCATGTCTCCCAGAACGAGACAATTTATTGCAATCAGAATACGATTGCAAAACTTTGACCGACAAGAGTGCATTGTGCACTCTTGTTGGTCTGCATGTGTCATTCCGGGAGACATTGCCTGTGCATGTCTCCCAGAATGGCATACTGTTCCGCATTCATAACTTGAATGCGGAACTTTGACCGACAAGAGTGCATTGTGCACTCTTGTTGGTCTGCATGTGTCATTCCGGGAGACATTGCCTGTGCATGTCTCCCAGAATGGCATACTGTTCCGCATTCATAACTTGAATGCGGAACTTTGACCGACAAGAGTGCATTGTGCACTCTTGTTGGTCTGCATGTGTCATTCCGGGAGACATTGCCTGTGCATGTCTCCCAGAATGGCATACTGTTCCGCATTCATAACTTGAATGCGGAACTTTGACCGACAAGAGTGCATTGTGCACTCTTGTTGGTCTGCATGTGTCATTCCGGGAGACATTGCCTGTGCATGTCTCCCAGAACGAGACAATTTATTGCAATCAGAATACGATTGCAAAACTTTGACCGACAAGAGTGCATTGTGCACTCTTGTTGGTCTGCATGTGTCATTCCGGGAGACATTGCCTGTGCATGTCTCCCAGAATGGCATACTGTTCCGCATTCATAACTTGAATGCGGAACTTTGACCGACAAGAGTGCATTGTGCACTCTTGTTGGTCTGCATGTGTCATTCCGGGAGACATTGCCTGTGCATGTCTCCCAGAACGAGACAATTTATTGCAATCAGAATACGATTGCAAAACTTTGACCGACAAGAGTGCATTGTGCACTCTTGTTTGTCATCCACTATGATACTTAGAGAAAATACTTTACTTACATTATTTAAAATATTAATTTCCCTATTTAATATTTATTTATTATTTTTTGTGCTTTATATTCCCTATGGCATGTACTGAACTATTTTATAGACTCTACCGAGCTATCTCCACATATAAACATTTGACAATAACACATATATACTCTCTTCATATTCTAGTCTCATGACATATTATTGCAAAAGCTATATTTATACAGCATACCTCATAAAGTCTCATTATATCCCTATCTAAGCGTTCAAAACCTATTTTCCCCACGTAATCTGATTCTTCAGGCTCCGCTGATTCGATTTCTGCTGTCAGATCGTGAAAATATGAATCACATAACAAGATAAACACAAGTTACCCAACTTGATATTTTCCGTAAAAAAACTCTTTAAGTTCATGTTCAAACAACATCATTTTAGAAAAATTCAATTTTTTCCAAAAGTGTGTGAATTCAAAAAGTCACAATATATCTAGTTATTACCCAGTATTAATTTTTTAATTTAGTTTTTGAGATATTCATTTTATAATACGTATTATTCAGAAAATTAAATACATTTGTAAGGGAAAACGGAATTAATAACAAATATATGAATATCGTGGAAGAGTCAATTTGAAGAAAACATTATTATTTTGGATTTGTGTTTATCTTGTTATGTGATTCATATTTTCACGATCTGACAGCAGAAATCGAATCAGCGGAGCCTGAAGAATCAGATTACGTGGGGAAAATAGGTTTTGAACGCTTAGATAGGGATATAATGAGACTTTATGAGGTATGCTGTATAAATATAGCTTTTGCAATAATATGTCATGAGACTAGAATATGAAGAGAGTATATATGTGTTATTGTCAAATGTTTATATGTGGAGATAGCTCGGTAGAGTCTATAAAATAGTTCAGTACATGCCATAGGGAATATAAAGCACAAAAAATAATAAATAAATATTAAATAGGGAAATTAATATTTTAAATAATGTAAGTAAAGTATTTTCTCTAAGTATCATAGTGGATGACAAACAAGAGTGCACAATGCACTCTTGTCGGTCAAAGTTTTGCAATCGTATTCTGATTGCAATAAATTGTCTCGTTCTGGGAGACATGCACAGGCAATGTCTCCCGGAATGACACATGCAGACCAACAAGAGTGCACAATGCACTCTTGTCGGTCAAAGTTCCGCATTCAAGTTATGAATGCGGAACAGTATGCCATTCTGGGAGACATGCACAGGCAATGTCTCCCGGAATGACACATGCAGACCAACAAGAGTGCACAATGCACTCTTGTCGGTCAAAGTTCCGCATTCAAGTTATGAATGCGGAACAGTATGCCATTCTGGGAGACATGCACAGGCAATGTCTCCCGGAATGACACATGCAGACCAACAAGAGTGCACAATACACTCTTGTCGGTCAAAGTTTTGCAATCGTATTCTGATTGCAATAAATGTCCATTCTGGGAGACATGCACAGGCAATGTCTCCCGGAATGACACATGCAGACCAACAAGAGTGCACAATGCACTCTTGTCGGTCAAAGTTCCGCATTCAAGTTATGAATGCGGAACAGTATGCCATTCTGGGAGACATGCACAGGCAATGTCTCCCGGAATGACACATGCAGACCAACAAGAGTGCACAATACACTCTTGTCGGTCAAAGTTTTGCAATCGTATTCTGATTGCAATAAATGTCTCGTTCTGGGAGACATGCACAGGCAATGTCTCCCGGAATGACACATGCAGACCAACAAGAGTGCACAATGCACTCTTGTCGGTCAAAGTTCCGCATTCAAGTTATGAATGCGGAACAGTATGCCATTCTGGGAGACATGCACAGGCAATGTCTCCCGGAATGAGACACTGCGACCGTCAGGAGTGCATATTATCATCAAAAATTCAAAAAAAAAACATTTTTCTTTTTTCTTTGGCGAAAAATGTACTTATTTTTTTGAAATTTTCGAAATATGATTTTTTCGGGAGACTTTTTCAAAATTTTAATATGATAAATATGAGTTATTTTATGTTCTCTATTTGAGAGTCTGCTTATTTTTGAGTATTGAGCAAGATTGAAAAATGAGAATATTTAGGAACATAATAAATCGATTTATCTCGTCATGTAGTTCATATTTTCGCGTTCTGAGAGCGGAAAACGCATTTTTTGAATGCGTAGATTCCGAATCACACGGAAAAAATAGGTTTTAATAAGAAAAATAGACAATTTATGAAGTAACAAAGCACATAGTATTATAAAAAAGAAAAACATTTTTCTCATATGAAAGAAAATATAACGTATTTTTTACAGAGCGTAGGTATATATCGAGCCAATTCACACCATAAATTCTTTTCTCGTTCTCGGGCCTATAAACAACCTGAGGTGCACAACAATATTAACTTATACTGCTGTTATCTGGATTTGAATCCTCAATTGAGAGAATTCCAGATAACTTCAGTATAAACAAACCATATACATGTTTCCTCCTTGCTTCTAGGCCAAGCATAACAAGTACATTACCTTAGAGCAAATCTCATTCGGAGTTTCTCATTTAATGAGAGACTCCGAATGAAATTTGCCTATTTGATTAATATCGTGCTTTATGAGATGCAAATTCTGATGATAAATATTGATCTAGAGCTTATATAAGATGCGAAGAAACTTCAAAAAAAGCTAACCGGTAAAGACAGCAACTTGCAACACCAAGTTGCTCACGTAGTGATTACAAGCATATCTGCAAGGCAAAGTCCTCAGGATGCAGAACTTTGCCTGCAATCAGAAAAGAGATTGCAGCAGAGTAACCGGTAAAGACAGCAACTTGCAACACCAAGTTGCTCACGTAGTGATTACAAGCATATCTGCAAGGCAAAGTCCTCAGGATGCAGAACTCTGCCTGCAATCAGAAAAGAGATTGCAGCAGAGTAACCGGTAAAGACAGCAACTTGCAAAGTCAAGCAGTTTCTGAGATTTTGATTTATAAATCATAAACCTTCATGCTTGATGATTTTGTAGAATTGTTAACTCATGTCATCAGTTAATGCTCACCTAAGGGAGGTGTTTTGCGGGAGCTGGGGGTATCTTGGTGAGTACTCAGGAGGCCAAGAAGGGCACCCCAACCGACATTTTGCTGATGGATTGAGTTCGCAACCATTTTTATAACCGTAAAAACCGTCGGGACAAAACAACTTGAATAATTGAATTTTTTAATGATAATGATTGTGAAATAACATGTAACTATAATTTAAGAATGCCATATTTTTGTTAAAAAAAATTTCGAAAAGTGAGAGATTTTCCGTTCTAATAAATATATTTGATAACCGGGGCGTCCCCGGAATCAAATAAATTATCATATCGAGAATCGGAGATCCTTGCAGTTTCGATTTTTTCGAAAAGTGAGAGATTTTCCGTTCTAATAAATATATTTGATAACCGGGGCGTCCCCCGGAATCAAATAAATTATCATATCGAGAATCGGAGATCCTTGCAGTTTCGATTTTTTCGAAAAGTGAGAGATTTTCCGTTCTAATAAATATATTTGATAACCGGGGCGTCCCCCGGAATCAAATAAATTATCATATCGAGAATCGGAGATCCTTGCAGTTTCGATTTTTTCGAAAAGTGAGAGATTTTCCATTTTAATAAATATATTTGATAACCGGGGTGTCCCCCGGAATCAAATAAATTAGCATTACTAACATTCCTTTTTTATTTAAAATTTTCAATTCTTAAAACAAAGTTTTACTTCTATTTAATTATTTGCCATGAAAGTATAGAACATTAAAAATTTATCCTACTACCTCCACCCTTATAATACCTTCAAAAAAATTATATCTCAATTTATTTTCTATCTTTATATTGATGTGCTTATTCAAAAACACTAAATCATAAGTCTTCAGTTCTCAAAATACTCTCAAATTATCTCATTGCGCATATTTTGAAATTTGATAATTTTAAATTGTTAAAAAATTCATTAATCACAGTAAAATATCTATATACAACAATTAACTAACTGATTTCACATCTTGAACATTCGCATTTATTTAATATATTTGAATATCATTTACATCTTATTGAATTAGATCATAAATCACAGTTCCTTAATATACTATCTAGCTAATCATTATTGTTGCACAACTTACATTTGATTAAACACACGTGTATAATTCTGTACAACTCATATCTCTATCAATACTTTATTTATAATCAGAACAAAGGTTAAAATTGTATACCCTGTCACTGTAGAGTATTCTCCCAACTTTAAAGTGAAAATCAAAATTTGATATTTTAGTAATTTCATGTGAGATCGTTATTTTATAGGAAAACATACTGAAAATGTTTATAAGATGTTTCTCTATCATATGCCAAAATATCATGGCTTAAATGCTCTCCTAAGTGTCTATAACTGAATTTTAGGGCAATAACCTTATTCTAAATGTTGGGAAAGTAGGGTAATAGTATACTCATAGTTAATTACTTCTTGATTTCTTTGATATAAATTTGTTACCTTATTTTTTGGACTGTGAACGTTTTAATTTGGATATTTCTTTTCGATTCAAAAATTTTGAAGCAATCTGAAGAGCAGTTTTTCCACATCCATTCGTTTCAAAGATATTCGCAACATGCGAAATGAGAACTTTAGCTAATTCTATATAACGAAAAGTTACTGCTTGATGAAGAGCAGTTTCTTCATCTATATTTTTTTCATTGGGATTTGCACCATGTGAAAGAAGGAATTCAGCTGTTTCTATACTATTATTAAATGCTGCTTTATGAAGAGCAGTTTCTTCATCTATATCTTTTTCATTGATATTTGCACCATGTGAAAGAAGGAATTCAGCTGTTTCTATACTATTATTAAATGCTGCTTTATGAAGAGCAGTTTCTTCATCTATATCTTTTTCATTGATATTTGCACCATGTGAAAGAAGGAATTCAGCTGTTTCTATACTATTATTAAATACTGCTTCATAAAGAACGGTTTGTCCATCTTTATCTTTTTCATTGATATTTGCACCATGTGAAAGAAGTAATTTGATTGTTTCTTTACTATTGTGTTTTAAAGCTTCATAAAGAGCGGTTTTCCCAAACTTATCTTTTTCATTTATATTTGCACCATGTGAAAGAAGTAATTTGACTTTTTCTATACTATTATTTCCTGCTGCTAAATGAAGAGCAGTTTGTCCATGTTTAGTTTTTCCTTTGATATTTGAACCTAAATGAAGGAGAAGCTCGACAATTTCTATACTGTTATTTTTAGTTGCATAATGTAGAGCTGTTTGCTGATCAAAGTCTTTCTGAGATGTTGTTGCCCCATGTGAAAGAAGAAATAGGATTAATTCTTTACTATTATAACCTGCTGCAAAATGAAGAGCTGTTCTTCCATTTTTATCTTTTTCGTTGATATTTGCACCGCGAGGAATGAAAAGTTCGATTATTTCTTTTCGACAAATTTTAGCTGCATAATGAAGAGCTGTTTCTCCATTTTCATTTTTGGCATTGAGATTTGCATGTCTGGAAATGAAAAATTCACAAAGGGATGTAGTATCGAACATTGTTGAATAAACAAAGCACTTGTTAACATCATTAGTTTGATCGAAACAAACTAAAAATGATTCAAGATTTTTATATTCTCCGCAATTTTCTAAATCGATCTCTAAGTTGTATTCATTCATTAAGAATGTAACAAAATCAATGTTGTGTGAAATAATTGCATATCTCATGCATTCTTTATCTGGCTTCTGATATTTCAAACATTCACTCATTATCTCTGGATTTCCTCCTAAAAACGAAAATCTCAGACAGTTTTGAGTTATTTCTGAGTGAAATTTCGTTCTTAATAACTTGAAACAATCAACTGCCCCATAGTAACAACATAAATCAAGTAATGAATATCCTTCTTTAGAATATGGATATAAACTGCTTTGAAGAATTTTCTTTTCATCAAATTCTTCTCTTTCAGTAAATAAGATGAATTTTTCTTGGTCATTATACATAATTGATCTGTAAATTGTATCTTCTGATAAAATGTTTATGTTTTGTGATACAAATTGATGGAAATTGGTATTTTCGCTTAATTGAATTCCATATTCTTTATAAAAGAGGTAGTTAGAAATGTCCCAAATATCGTTGGCCTCTCTTACATGATATTCATCATATAAAAGTTTTGCAAGTTTTAAATATGACTTTGTATAGCGGTTATTAAATAGAATGATATTCAAAATATCTTGTAGAATCTCTTGGGCAGGATATTTATTTGAATCAATCAACTCTGTTTTAATTATTTTGTAAATCGTGTTTCATTCTTCTTCATTTTCAGTTTTTAACCGATACAACGTATTATATGAATCGATGTAGTATTCATAGGTACTTCGTAATTCACTGAATTCATTTGGATGAATGTCTTTCTCGGACATTAATATTTTTTTAAAATGTAAAATTCACTATATCTATGTCACAATCTCATCATACCATGTAAAATAGCCTTTAATACTTATTAGGAGAAATAAATACTATGCGATATGCGTATTGAAAACGATTGCTTAAAAGATTTCGGATAAAATTCATGAACGTTGATTAGGTTCATAGATAAGAATTTGTACAGTTACAAAATTAAAGCCAAAATCAATTAGATATTCGACAAAAATCTTATATTAATTACAATTGGTGTTTCAGATCAGATGGAATAAATAAGATTGTTTCGCAGAACACTCTTACTCCTCATCAGCTCTCTCATCAACTCAACTTACTCCTCATTAGCTCATACTCCTCATCAGCTCGACTTACTCCTCATCAGCTCGAACTCTTACTCCTCATCAGCTCTCTCATTAACTCGAACTCTTACTCCTCATCAGCTCTCTCATCAGCTCGAACTCTTACTCCTCATCAGCTCGACTTACTCCTCATCCGCTGTTACTCCTCATTAGCTCAACTTACTTCTCAACCTTTACTAATGAATTTATTTTATTATTTTTGTTTTGTTTTAATAAAAACTCGTTATTGTTTATGTATTCTTTTTACTATTCGTAACTACTTAAATATCATTTGTATTGAAACATTTTTCTGAATTTCGAATTTTTTAATTTGTCAAACTTTTTAAAATTTCAAGAGAGAAGGAAGAATAAAGAAGGAAAAAGAAAAGAAAGGGAAAAAAAAAGAAAAAAAGAAGAAGAAAACAAGCAGTGCAGCATTTCGATGTGATTTATGAGATTATTATATATATTGCTATAAGGAATAAATTTAACTGCTTAAATCGAATTTTGAGCATGATTTATTTTTGAAATTATTTGATCATTGAATTTTCGGCGATTTAAATGGATCAATCCGCAATATAATATAACACAAATTGATAAATGCTATTAGTTTAAAAACAATTAGAAATTGCAACCGAAAATGGTCAAAAGTAAGTCACGAAAATATGAAATTTAGATAGCTAATTTGATTTAATTAAAGACGACGAAAAAAATATTTTTAGTCTTATATATATAGCGCATCTATCGGCGCGCGGCGAAGCCGCGCGCCGATATAAGCTGAAAAAAAGGGACGGCGACAAATTTTATCTACTTTTGTTTTTTGGCCGAATGGCGGCTACTGCGTACCCGCCATTCAGCCCCGAAAATGCGTATATATTTAAAAATATACGGTCATTGCGTAAAACCGTCGCATGCTTAGGTGAATTATATTATAAAACAAATAAAAGGTTTAGAATCGAATAATTTAACATTGAAGTAACTCTTTGAGTACACTTTCGTAAGATTTCGCAACAAGAACTGAACACCAGTTAATCTCCATCTTCTTCATCTCTCCAGAGAATGTAAAACATTATTTTCATTATAATAAATAAAACAATATTTTAATTTTTTATCGACAAAATAAAAATTATTGACCATTTTGATTACTCATGGCCTTTTGGCTATTTTCTTTGATTATATTATTTATATTGTTCACCAATCCATGAATTACATCCGGATCACTGGCTTCGTACGATTGAAGGAACAAAACAAACCTACTTCGAGCTATTTCCCTTGAGAACACAACGTTGATCAACCTTTTCAGTGCGTCATCGTGAGGACAAGACAATGAATCGTAAATGTAAGCTCCATCGTAGAAAAGCAAAGAGAAAAGTTGATAGTAATAGGATTCATCATTAATTTCATCACATTGCTGAGCTTGTTGGTCTAAATAATCTCCATAATTGCAAATCCACGAAGCAATGAGCAAAGTGACAATATAATAGTTATCATTATCATCGATCCTTACTGAAGGTTCAAAATGGCAACTAAGAACAAATAATAGCTCATTTTCAAAATTTTCAGAATAAATTTCAGGATAATAAATGTAAATACTAGCAATAACATTGATGACATTGGTATAATTCTTAAGATAAGAGAAAGAGTCTTCTTCGAGGGCTCCTTTCAGATAATTTAATAATTCTAAGATATAATTATCAGGATAATGAATTACATTGAATAATTCGAAGAAGAACATCATAAAGTTATTAAGGGCAGCTCTGTATTTCATAAAAATTGGATTAGAGTCATCATTTTCTATTGATGAGCATTCTACGCGAATATTCAATAAATTGTAGAAGATATCATGATATTCGCCAAATAATGATCCATCTGGTTCAAATGCAGTGTAAACTAATAACAAACTTGGATAAATTTGGATCATAATATCGTTTTGGGCTGCGTTCAATAAAATAGGCAAAATTTCTTCGCCAAATAAATTTTTCAACATCTCATGATCAATTTTGATCAAACAAATCAATGGATTTACGAACATTTCTATTCCGGAAAAATATTCGCCAATAAAATAGTTTTCTGGCATTGTATCTTGGCCGGACTGATAATATTCGGTTGCTATATTCAACTGGAACTTCAATGTGTTGATTACAAACTTCATAATTGATTCGTTCAAAGTTTGGTACTGATTTAAGTCAAAATTCCGTGTTTCTATGATTTTCTGAATAGATTCAAACATATTTGTCAAGTTTAAATAACTGAATTCGTTACCCATCTGTCGAGATAATCCATCTGCAAAAATTTGAAGGAAAATATCGACCAATTCCTTGTTATTGGTTTTATATGCATATGAGAATAATGATTGGAGTGTTACGAAACATATAACAGCAATATCTGCGATGAAATATTCAGAAGATACAAAATTATTCACAATTTGAAGGAAAGAATTCAATTGTTCATTGTTATTCTCTAATAACTTATCAAAACAAGCTTGGTTACTACACATATACTTAATAATATTGATGTTTTCTATTAATAAATCTACAATTGTGTTTTCAATGGCATATTTTGTATTTCCTTGTATCCTATCTATAACAGTAAAGGCTGTTAAGTCAATATATTCGTTCCTGGAGAATTCTTTGAACTGAATTGGCTTCATTATTACATTAAACGCTCTAATCCAAAGATCATTACTGTATTCGCCAGCATCTTGTATATAACCAAGGATTGTAAGCATAGATTCATGGTATTTCTTCATAAATCTTGGATCAATTTCCGATTCATTTCGATTAAGGTTTTCTACACAAAGCTCTAATAAAATTTTGGCATATTTTTCTAATTCCTCTTTCGCTTCCTCTTCTTTATCCTTTTCTACGTTCTGTTTTACTGTATTTAGCACAGAAATGCCAGAATTAAGGATTTGTATCTTAACAACATCGCTTCCATCACATTCCTTAAGGATATTATTGAAAAGTTCGAAAATTGACTGGATATCTGGAATTTTCGAAATTGTATTTTGCAATTTCGTCAAAGTTTCGATCAAAGTAGCCAAGCAATCTTCGTTATCAATGAACGAGAAGCTTTCAAGCAGTTTCTGTTGTATTTCTTCAGAATTATCTTTAATGACATGGAAATATTTATCAATTATAAAGGAAAGCGAGCTTAATGCCAATGTTACAATCTTGTGATTGCTATCTGCTGATATATCATTGAAAATAACTTCAACAAATTCTGAATAATTAATTTTAACAAGAGTGTACTCTATACGCTTAAATACTTTATATGCAACATATTTTATACGAATATCATCACTATTGATGAGTTCTAATAATGAATCTCCTAAAATTTCGTCAATTCCTAATGTAGAAGTTCCTGAAGCAATAAAAACAAGGAAACCATACATGTATTCGGATAAATCACCTTGTAAGAATGTTTCCGACCTCTGAAGGAAACGGGAATTTATTCCTGGTAATCCTGAGTTTGTAATTTGATGAACAATGTCAGGAGCGATGCTACTAAGAGAGTTTTCATCATCCATGTAGTCGATCTTGTTTAAAACTGAAATAAAAGTGTCAATTAAAATATCAAAAAAATCTACTGAAAATTGAACTGTTTCTGAGTTGTATTGAACTATATTTTCGAATATAAATAAACATTGAATGATGGTTTGCTCGTCTTCTGAATTCATGACTTTATTTGAAATAAATTTTGATAAATCAAGGAAAATTGTTGGAAAATATGGAGAATTCTTCTCACAAAAGTTGCCGATGATCGAAAGATACTGGTATTCTGTTGATTTGTCAATTATCTCTAAGATTTGTGGAAAAATTTCAAGAAATTCGTTAATTGGCTCTGATTTCGCAATAATTGAAAAGTATAAATTGACGATATCGTATAATTGAGTTGAATTGCTCTGTATAAGTTGATAAAGATAATTTAAATCAAAAGTGCATAAATCTTGTGAACACTCTATAGATTCTGTAATAATTGTAAAGAGGAAGTTGGTACCTATGGATTTTTCAAGATCTCTTATGCTTTCATTGAAATTAAAGTCAGTTTCTGGAAATTGTTGATGAAGAAGAGTCATAACGAAGGCCAGGACGTAAGAAATCCATGTCTTTTGTAAATATGCAATTGAATTTAGTGAAAGAAGCAGCGGAATGATTGGTCTAAAATCTTGATAAAATTTTTGCGTAATTTCTGGAGTGAGGATCTGTTTTTGGTGTCTGTAGATCGAATAAATCATGAGTATCGCATATTCATGTAAATTTGAATGTTCATCATTTAAAATTATTTGAATTATCCATTCAAAGAAAAGATTTGTTTGCTCATTTAGAAAACTATCTCTTACCGATTCAGACTGTCGTCGAATTTCATCATCTTGTGAGTTGCATTGAATTAGGATATCCGCAAAATCATTCAAAGAATTCATTTTTATTTGTCAAATTTTTCCTGTGAAATATACAATACATGTTGCTTACGACAACATTATTTATAACACTTTTACCCGTCAAAATTCCGCAATTAATTATTGAATGCGGAAGAGTATACCAATCTGGAAGATATGCATAGTATCTCATTCTGTAACTTATAATATTGATACTTTAATATAATATCACAAATAATAAAAAAATTCTTGAAAGTTTTGAGAGAAGAGAAGAATTATATTATAAAACAAATAAAATGTTTATAAACGAATAAATTAACATTGAAGAATCTCTTTGAGTTCACTTTCGTAAGATTTCGCAACAAGAACGGAAACCCAGTTAATCCACATCTTCTTCATCTCTCCAGAGAACTCCTGGTTATGCGGAGGGAAGGTTTTTCTGTATCCGGCCATTAATTTCTTTGGATCAATCTGGGAAAGATATTTCTCGGCTTCTGCCCCATTAATTTGTTTGCTTCCCTTCTTCAACAACATTTTCTTAGCTCCATCATTGAAAGCGTTGATTGCAAAAAGTGATTTATGGAATTTAACTTTTTTCTTCTTGATAAGTTGCTTGAAAAGGGCTGAGTTTTGGACAGAATATACTCTCATGGCTGAACTAGCCATAATATTCATTACAATGCCTTCTGTTAAGATTCCAATGACAGATTTGTTTTCTTCGCACTTTTTGTCGGTACTTGAGAGGCTCTTGATCAAATCAAGGATTGTACTTGTAATGTTTGGTCCGAAATCAGTAATATTTTGAGCCATAGCTTGGAATAAGCACGCGATTGATGGAATTAAGGCGTCATTCTCTTTCAAATTAAGAGCAAGCTCCATAACACAAAGACCAACATTTTGGTTTTGTAATTTGTAGTTGGTTTCGTAGACTTCGGTAACTTTCGACATTAAATGCGAAGAAATGTTAGGAACACTGACCAAAAAGATCAAAGAATCAAGTATGATCGAATGTATGAATGAGAAACTGCTCTTTTCGAGTGTAAATTGAGAAATTGAGGCAAGATCGAAAATAAATTTTGGATAATGTGGACTTTCTGCTAATGCTTTGACGAAATTATGGTTCTTTGAGCAAAGCATGTAAACAAATGTCAACGCTGGTGTCGAAAATCCGAATGTTGGTTGAGTTAAAAACTTTTTCTGAACTGGATCGCCAACAAAGGCTTTTATGCATTCCTGTGGATCGAGGGATTCAAAGTAACGCATAAAGAATGGGTCTTTGATGCATAAATCTGACATAAGACCAAATAATGTTTTCATCATTTCACTGGAGTAAACTGTGACAACTCCTGTATTAAATTCGTTGACGAAATCTTTGCAGAGTCTAAGAAATGAATGGATGAAAGGTACTGATGGGAAAATTAGCATAGAAAGGTAAAATTTGATTAATTGAGCCGGTGGCTTCGAAAGTTTCTTGATATTTACAATGCCACTAATAGCTCTAGCTAAATCGTATCTTGTCAGTGCTTTGTTTTCATCACCTGGCTGAATAGAATCCCAATAACCGTTTTTATCTGTTTTTGTAAAGTTATTTCGGAACAAAAGGTGCATAATGGCTCCATTGAATCTCGAAAGGATCGAAAAATTCGTTCTAAGTTGAAGCCATTTTGTCATTTCAGGAGGACCTTCAATTTCTTCGATTTCCTTTTCTTTTCCCTTTCCTTTCTGGCTGTTTTTCTTGGTTTCAGCTTTTGGTGTTGGTTTTTTCTCTACTTTTTTTGTATCAGATTTTTTTGGTGGAATTTTCTTTTCTGAACCCTTTTTTGGTGGTGTCTTTCCTTTCTTCTTTGTTTTTTCTTCTTCCTCGTCCTCTTCTTCTTCGTCTTCTTCTTCGTCTTCTTCCTCATCTTCCTCTTCATCGGAATCTTCTTCTTCCTCTTCTTCTTCCTCCTCTTCCTCTTCTTCTTCCTCCTCTTCCTCTTCTTCTTCTTCTTCTTCAGTTTCATCATCATCTTCTTCTTCCTCTTCCTCTTGTTCTTCCTGATCTTCTTCCTCCTCTTCTTCTTCCTCATCATCATCGGAGTCTTTTACTTTTCTTTTCTTTGTTTGAGGCTTTTTTGTATTATTTTTATTTGATTTCTTCGTTTCTTCTTTTTTAGCAGTAGTTTTCGGTGCGGCCTTGGTTTTTCCGTCTGGATTCTTTTCACTATCTTCGATTTTCTTGTCTAATTTTGCCTTTGCGTTTCCGAAATTCGCGATTTCAACAAATAATGGATGAAATTCATTAAAAGAAAGCATAACGGAAGTTATAAGAATTACCATTTGCAAAATCATAGAAAGTTGATTATGCTGTTGAGGAGTAATAGTTTCAGTTTTATATTCGTCATCCAAATTCTCAACGTAAAGAGTTGCTGCTTTGATAATTGCAACTAGGTTGTTTGGCTGACTTTTTCCGATTGTTATGATCGGCTGTGGACTAAAATTGCCACAATCAGCTCTGTTTGGAGCAGCAGCGAGAATTGGATCTAAAATGTGCTTATCATTTGAGTGATCTTCTTTAGAGTATTTATCTAATACTGAATAAAGCTGGCTGGTGATACTAGAAGCACCACCCATTTTTTTTACAACTTTTTACTTAATCTTTAATTATACCTTAAAAATATCATTGGATGAGTAACACACAAGAATTTCTCTCAATTCAGCGTGGAAACTGAAACAATTGAGAATTTCATTTTTCCTGACTCAAAGTCCAATAACGTAAAGCATGAAATTACCTTCCTATATGAGAGTAAAATTGCATGAATCTATTATCTGAGATAGAAAGTTTAATTAGAAAACTCTGTTATTCAATTGCATCTATTATCATCTTCATATGACATCTATTATTCTAGCGTAGTGAATCCATATTCACAAATGTAGTAGATTGTAGGAAATTGCTATAGAAATTTTCAAGATTTGTTTTTATTTTTCATAGATTTTGAAATACAATAAATGAAATGCATGGGTAAGGTCAGTTAAAATACAAAATAATACAAACATTTATTCAATAATCTTTCAAACGAGATACAACAATAGGAAGTAATTTTCCAGTTTCGGTTTGTAAATACAATTGAGTGTCACCTTCAACCGGGTCTAATGACTTAATAATCTGTTGTTCAAGTTCCAATTTTGATTGATTTCTTTGTTTAGCAGCTTCTTTAGAGTCTGGCGAAATGCTAATAGAGAATAAATCGCGAGGCTTAACTCTCTTTTGTTTAACTACTGGAGGAGCAGGTTTTTTATACGTATTTGTAAGATACGGAAGTTCTGCAAAATCTTCTGCAATATTTCGATCTTTCTCTTTATCTACATCTATTTTTGCTGATAAAACACCTATTTCTCCGTCTAAATCACCAATATATCTATATCCATAATATTTCTTTGGTTTTTTGATAGCTTTTCGCTCAACATGTTCTACAGTATTTTCTAATGCAAGTGGAGCTATCGATTGATTGTTGTTGCTTGGTGGCGAATTTGTGGCGGATTCTTTTTTAATTTCAGGTTTTGGAGGTTGTGGTTGCTCATCTCTTTCTTTAAATGTAGTAGTTGGCCTTGACTCTGTTCGTTTTGAGAATGCTGACGTTTTTCCTGTTGTAAGATATTTTGGGATGTGTTTTGAAGGTTTAGTTTGTGGCTCAATAAGTTCAATTCCTTTCGGTTTTGGAACTGGTGCAGGACGCCTTTTTGCCAATTCATTTTTAAGAAAATTAAAATCAATTGGATCTGGCGGTGGTTCTGGCTTCTCGATCATAGATCGAAGAAAAGTCAAATCATCATCCGGAAGTTCTGGTTTGGGTGTTGCATAAATATCTGCTAATTTTGGAACTGCACTATACATTTTTTAAAAAATTCGTTTTTTGTCACTTTTTAGTTTTTTGGAATACTAAATTCATGAATTCTACTTTAACCATGGTCAGTATATGCTTGTCAGAAACCATTCCCAAGTCGGAATTACGTTTGATCATTCATTTTCTTTGATCTATATTTATTCAATGCAAATTATGAATTCATCATTGAATTTCAATTCTCAGTTGTGTTTAATATATGAATTTCAGAAATCGAAATCCTTGCAATATGCAAACTAGTTAACATTAGTAAAGTGTGTTTTTTCTATTTTTAGAATTGCGATATCATCTTTTGAGTTCTACATTTTGAATCACTACAGACACTGTGCTACATATCAAACCTATAGTTATTGCATGTCAATATCTTTTACTGCTCAAAAATTTGATCAGATATTTCTGTTTTGGAAATTGCTTTATCGGTTGGATATATTCACCTTCTAATATAAGATTAATACCATAGACTCTAAATTGCCAGAAACAAATATTCACAATTGAGCTTAATTTTATAATTTATCCGTATGATTACGATAACTTGATTCAAAATTGTAGAAGAAACGGCAATAATTTAAAACATTAAGGAATTTATTTAAACTCTATGGCAGCAATAAAAAACAAAGCTAGTAGCATTTGTCACAGGTTCCATCTAGTAAAATTCTATTACTTTTGGAAAATAAAAATTCATACCATATATAGGTTGTAATTTAGGGACCAGTAACATCATTGAATAAATATGGTGGAGTAAATATCTGCATATTCAGTATATTCAAAATTTCCTCGGTATTTTTAGTCCGTAATAATTCAGATCGAACATTTTGGAGAGAGCTTTGAATCAAAATACACATTCCGTAATTCGATCCGATATGCAAAGTAATTTGAAAAAGTATAAATTTCTTTCAATTTTTTTGTGAGCTTTTATTCCAATTCATTTTTTAATCCAACATCAATATTTAATATAAATAAACCAATTTTTTTATTTCATATAATAAAATTGAAAGACATTGTAAAAATGAAACTATACAATACACCCAAACATTTCAATTAATGCAAAATTTTTTAGGCCTGTATTAGCACGAATTCAAAATTTCAATTATCTCAAAAATTGCTATTTTATATAGATATATTTTGCTCAGTGTGAGCTGATTGATCCTATTTTTTGATAAATTAATTTTGAAATTAGAAAATATCATCCAATTTTTTTCATCTTTATTAGCTGTATTTTATATATTCTCAAATAATGGTGACCAATTTTGAAATCAATAACATTTTTCCCTGCTTCAGTACATCGAAAAAATTTGATGGCAATATATAGATTGGTAGTTTCTATCCCGCTGCCAATCAAAAGTAAATTTGATAAAACACTTTGAAACTATTCAATTGCATTTTTGAATTGATTTTAATTTTTCTTAGATTCTACTGATGCTATCCCGCAGTATTCTTGATGCATATGTTCCATTATTTTTACCAAACAAAGATCTTGATTCCACCCCTCAGCCAATTGCTATTCCACTCCTTAAAAAATGTGATTTAATCACATTGCTCAAAAATGTGAGTTACATCTTTCAAACAGAGGGTACACTTTTAGATCTCAATGGATGCTTCACAATTGTTGGTGATATTCATGGTAATTTGAGAGACCTACTTAGAATCTTTGGACTTGCCGGCTCTCCAACATACACAAACTATATCTTCCTTGGTGATTATGTTGATCGTGGTGACTTGTCAATTGAAGTCATAACATTATTATTCACTATAAAATTAGCTTATCCTGACCAATGCTATCTTTTACGTGGTAATCACGAATTTGCCGATGTCAACTCAATTTATGGCTTCAAGGATCAAGTATTAGAAAAATATGATCAACAAATCTACGACATGTTCAACGAAGTTTTTTCATTTATGCCTTTAGCTGCAATTTTAAACACTAATACATTGTTAGTCCATGGCGGCATCAGCCCACAACTTGCTACAGTTCAACAGATCTCCCAAATCAGAAAACCAATAGTTTCATATGACGAAAATCGCTTAATCGGCGATTTGATGTGGAGTGATCCTACCAATGGAAGCGCATAGTTTGTCAAGAATCCTAGAGGTCACGGATGCAATTTTGGCGTAAATGCAAACGCTGAATTTTTGAAAAATAATAACCTTCGTAGAATCATCCGCGCACATCAATGTATCGCAACCGGAGTCAAAACATTCTTCAGCGATACCCTCATAACTGTCTTTTCTTCATCATGTTACGCAGATAAATTTGATAATCCAGCCGGATTCTTAAGAGTTGTCAATAACGAGGTCTACCAAAACATATTAGATCCAGTAAAGCAACTCAAGAAAACTGACGTCGTTTACAAAGAAATTGAAGTTGAAGCGACAATTCCTTTATGTAGAAGAAAAGTGTTTTTACCACAGCCTCGAAAGAGATTCGCTTCTTGCAAGCTTCATAATTCTATCATTGTTGAATCAAGAACTCCTAAGGCTCCAAGAAAGATTCTTCCATTTCCAAATGATACACCGTAATTTTATGTTTTTGTTTGTACTTTATATTATAATTAGAGTTATATAGAATAAATCTTTATGTGTTTAATCGGAACTGCTACTCTAAGAACATTTTTCAAAAATACAGGTTTTTGATATGGAAACATTCCAAAAATCTTACCAGATTTCATCCTTTCACATCCTATAATCGCAGAATATTTGGATGATTTCAATATCGATTCATATTAATAAAATCAATATTTTACAATTTACTTGTTTTGATATAGATTGATTGGTGTTTAAAATTATTGTTCAAATTAAATAATAGTTTGTTATGAAAAGTTCAGATGAAGATTTTGTCTTGAAAATTGATCGCCTAAAACAATAACACATGAAATAAAGCATAAAAATAGTAAAAGTTCTAACAAACAATAACATTTATAAAGCTAATAAACAACAAAAACATATAAAATATTTAATTCTCTGAATTAAGATTTTCATTCATAAAATCAATCAAATACTCAGCTAATTTAGTAACATTAGGATCAGTATTTTCATCTAGGATATATGAAAGTTCTTCATAGAGAGTTTCATTTTCTAATATTTGTTTAATCATTTCTGCTTCATTATGCGCGAGCAATGAGTTTAGAATTTTAATAAGAGCACCTAGCATTTCCAAATACATAGTTGGCATTGACGAATTTATGTTTTCTATCAAAACATTTGCAAAATCATTTTTGGAGAAGTCATAAGCAACGTCGCTACCAAGTGTTACACATATTACACATAATATTCTAAGGGACGCTTTCCAAATCTGGTTGGATGTCCTTTCTTTCAGATGTAAAAGTAAATTTGCAATTGGACTGTTAAATATCATTACAATTCCATCATAAGATGATGAAATTATTGCAAATATGGATGATATTGCACCAGAATGCGCTAATTCATCATTATTGTTAAGAGCAGCGATAATCATTTGAATTGCTTTTGAATTCTCAACAAATTGACATATATCAATGTGTTCTGTAATTTCTGCAATGAATCTACCGGCTGCAAGAAAATCTGCCTCATTATAGCTTTCAAAATTCAAAAATAAATCATGAAACATTTCTGATAAGAAAATTTGAGGATCTATGTTCAAAAATTCAGGAAACAGTTCAAAACATTGAGCAATTATTGTACAATTTGATGAATTTTTTGCTAATTCAATAATATTTGGAATATATCGATTTGCGCGTTCAGAAATGCTAGAATTCTGGAATATTGATCGAAGTAAGTTTATTGCTATAGTTTGGTGAAGAGAATCATCAGATTCAAGTAAGTTGAAAATTGTAGGTGAAAGAACGTCTGAAAGTATCAAAACAACTGCGTTCTCGTGCGTACACAGTATTTTTGATATCGAATCAGCAATTTCTATGTTAGGCATTAGACCCCAAATTTTTGAAATGTAAAGACATGAATCAAAGTTATCATTAAAGTACTTTCCAAGAGAGTCTACGATACGTATAATATTGGCAAGTATATTTTCATTGATATCATCATTTTGAAATTGAATTTCAATGGCCTGTTGAATTTTTAGAATAATTTCACCATCTGGATAGTGTTCTTGAGAGTAATTGGCAAAAATATCAAATGCTTCTGCCCGTTCATTGAAATTATCTGAGAATAAAAGATTTGAAATTTGTTCTTGAGTTTCTAGAGGCATTTCTTCCGTATTTAGATCTACCATTTTAAATTTCTTATAATCTTTATTCGTATTTGAAGATATTGATAAATCATTAGTTGGATCATTGGATTTTGATGGAATCATTAATACAAAATACTAATATGGTTATAAGATTACATAAACTAGGTTTTGGAACATTGAAATATTAGTGATATTTTTAAAATTTTTGTAAATTCAGATAAAACAAAATTTTTATTTTTTAATAGGTTTATGTAGTAATATGCCAAACAATTCCATTTGCCTAAAATTGATGCTTCCACCATTTCCTTGTGTTAATCTCCAGCGAATAAACTGATATGGTTTAGATTTCGCGCAATCCCAATAATGAGTCTTGTCACTACCTCCCATATCGCTATTCTGTTTCTTTTCATCAATTATAGTATAAAAAGCGTCTTCCCTTGGGTTATTTTTGCCTTCTATGACCCAGCTAATTGGTTGGCTCCATCGTGGCCCAGAACCAGAGGCAATTGAATATCCGGTGATCTGAACTTGCATGGACTTGAAATCGATCAAAACATAATTATCCTTTGTATCCGACATTCCGTAAGGCGTACGCTTATCAGAATTGAAGATACAGTCAAGGGAATTTGATGAATTTTCTCCTTTTGACTTCAAAACGACTTGTCCTGTCCTGAAAATGTCTTGATCAGATCTATGAATCAAATAATGGAAGATTCCATGGAAAAGATCCTTTTCTGGATCAAACAATAATGTTATTGATGGTATATGGTACCTTGTGCTATCTGTTGGGCAAGCAGTAGTTAATGGCTGGCAAAGTCTATGTTTTATGGCTTCAAAGATATCGGCTGATATATACTTCTTAAGTATCTTCTCAAGGAAGAGATTTATATCTTCCTTCTTTGTATTTTCGAAAATTATATACTTAAATAAAGTTACGTATTCATAACCGTACTTCTGACATTGCTGGAATACAAAATTAAATGTCTTTGTTTCATCTTCTAGTATTAAACTTGGATGCGTGAATACCATTTCGAATAAATAAATATCCATTCCATCTAATTGGTCAAATGCAATTTGAAAGAAATTAGCTGCTATATATTCTATTTCTGCAGTAATATCATCTTTATTTTCGTACTTTTCTTCAGCAATTTGAACACAATTTGTAAGTGTAAGTTGCTCATTGCGCCACAAATATGAAAATTCGCGTAATAGTTCTTGATTTCCGATCGCTTTTGCAATTCGTCTAATGTATTTAATATTTGAAGGAATAACATCGATTTCTTCGCCATTCATCAATTGCATTACAACAGAAAAGACATCATATGGATCACTGACATCTATAGTTAAAGATTCTGCGTGTGGATTTTGAATGTGAAGTTCGGCCGCTTTGGATGAAATAAAATCTGCAAGTAATGAGTTACAAGGATACTCCTTTGATCCAACTATGAATACAAAGTCATTTTGCAGGTTGGAATTTGCGCAATTTAAAAGACCTTTCGCTGAAAGGTAAAATTCAGACATTTGATAAATTTTTTTTTGCTAAATTTTGTCAAATATTTTAAAATGAAAATAAACATGCACATAATTTTCACATATATTTCTAAGTATATTTTTCGTTCCAAAGACTTCGGATGAATGAAATTATTGTTCAAATATAATTTTCTTGTACCCATACTAACAAGCACCATCTGCAATTCATTTTTTAAGTGAGGGTATCTCAATTTCCTGTGATGAAGTAAAGTTTTGAGAAATATAAAATGAAAATGAGTTTATGATATGAACTATTTCACTGGAAACTAACCTAATAAACTACATATTTTACTCAAAATCATGATATTTTATTCTGAATCCAAACAAACAAAAACTAAATGTAATAAAAACGAGAAATCATGCAATAAACAATAAGCATTGGTCTGGCAAAATGGACTGAATAAAAAAGTGATACGACAAACACCATGGCCAATATGTCCCAAAATATATCCATCGCTTAATGGATCTGGCATATATTCATTACCAGCTTTCATATTTGTTTTCGTGAAATATAGTTTAGATTCGTGAAAAGGAGTCGTTTCATTAGCAATAGTAGTTGATGGATACTGAGGGCTTATACAGCCAGGATGTCCACTAATATATGAGCTTCCACCTGACCCACCAAACTCAAATATATTATTGCCTCGAATACTATTTGATAATGTATTGTAACAACCTCGATATCCGCTCCCACAACCACCTGAACCTCCCTGATTACCATCAGTGTCAACAGCATCCATTCCTTTTCCTAATTCTCCTTTTGTTTGTGTGCCTCCAAAGATATACATCCCATTATTCACAGCGCTAATGGAGCCACCAGGCATACCAAATTTATTATCATTCGAAACAGCACCGCCCCCAGAACCGGCCACAATAATACGACTCTTCAAAGAAATTTCTAAAGATATATTATCAAGGGGTGGAGAATTGATGTCTACGTACTCTAATCGAAGGTCTACAGCACCTCCTCCTCCAGCGCCGCTTTCAGGAGGGTAAGAAAAATCTGGTTCATTGATATCGCTCTTGTCAATCCCGCCATTTCCCCCGAAGTTCCAACCCCCGAGAGTTTGATGGGTATAATCATTAAATTTTGTCTGATCTTCGCCTTTAGCACCTAAGTACAAGCAGAATGTAGAAGGATTGGTCAGAAGGATTTCACCAGAAACATATGAGCCATTTCCTCCTGAGTTAGGCTGCATTTTTCTTTGATTTCCAAATCGGCCATTTCCGCCTGATGCACCCCAAAGCTCAATTCTAAACTTGCCTCTTTTGAGATTAATGACATATGGTTCACAAATTGTATTGGATTTACAGGGATATTGGAATATGAATGATTCATTAATGTATGAAACATTAACTTGGGTACTATTAGTTTTATTTAGAAGAAAGTAAGTAAGTTCTTTCAGTATCTATCATGAAGTTGATCAAAATAAAATAAAAATTGTTGAATTAACACTTTTAAAGATGAAATTTGGTTTGTATATAGTGGTAAGCCAGATAGAAATAAGAATTTTCCGGTGTCTGAAGGAAAATTGCACGTTGAAGACACCCTTGACACTATATTAATTTTGAAATTGTCCTTCTCAAAATCTCGTACTGAAAATCATCAATCTCCATTTTCAAAATCTGCAAAGTCAGATTCTATTTCATCAATGTTAATGTGATAATAAAGTTAATTCATTATCGTACATTTAAATATCAATTTTTGATATTACAAAAAGCATTGTTTGAATAAATAGATGAAGAAAGAATCAATTGTGTTTTAACAGTTCCACTCTTACAGTATTCATCAATCTTTGTGATATTTTCATATCTCTCTAAATATGGTGGCAAATATAGCCAATGACATTTGGATTACCTGAGATATTGTAATATTTTTTTTCATCAAGCTCTCATGGATATGTCCAATAATTTTACATTGTGTTGCACACCTTGAATTAGTTAATATTGCGAAATCATTTCTAATAAATATACGAAATTAACTTTATTGAAATTGTTGTTTGTTGCTAGAGCTGGACTCGCGCATTCATATTGAATTCTTTGAGCTCCGAAGTTTCGAATATCCTCGTGAAAATAGATAGTGTGACGCCTAATTAAAATATTTTTTCAGCAATATACAAATTTTATTCGCATGAAACAGTAAATAGTTTTTTTTAAACAATTACATACAACAAAAAACAGCTAACATTATCTCAAATTGATCCATTGAGCGATCATGGACATCAAATGTTTTCTTTCTTACAATCTTGCAATTATATCCAATTGATGAATTTGATACTCCAGAATACTTCAAAATATTAAAATATGATGAATTTCTATTACTATAGCAAACTTGAACAATTTTGCTGCAATTAACAAATGAATCAAAATAAACCCAAACATCTACTGGTAAAGTTACACTTGATAGCAAGGATAAATTCGAAAATGAGCACCATGAAATATTTGTTACTTGGGTGTTATTGAAAATTAATTTTTTTTAAATTATGTTTGTTGAAGAAGGCAAATGATTGAATTATTTCTGTTTTTGGAGAGAAGTTTGTTGTGTCATTTTGGTTTTCAGGGAGACAGACAATTAATGTTTTGTAATCTTTTGTATAGAGATAGTTATTATAAACTACAAAATTGTTGTTACTTGCCAAACCAATATACTCAATATTCGGGAATGTTAGTTCAGCCTGACCTTGGCAATTCAACCAACCAAATGTATTATATTGTATTTCTACAAGTTGTGAAGGTGATCCTATATATATTCTTTTCAAAGTAGGAATCACACCAAAAAATCCAATACTTCTTACTGAGTTCGGAATTTTGAATGATTCTAAGGCTGTATTGTGAAGACATCTGAATGAAAGATTTGATATCGAATCAGGTAATGAAATTGATTTTAATTTTATACAGTCCATAAACATGTCTTTAGTTATCGACTTGAATCCATTTACAAATGAAGCACTAACTAAACCTCTGCATCCTTCAAAAATCCTTATTCCGATTTCTGCATTAGGCAAATTAAGTGATACACTTGTAATATTCCAGCATTTATAGAAAGAATCATTCCCAAGTGAAGGCAATTTTGCAAGGAAATACTTTTCAATGACAAACATCTGGCAAATCCAAAATATTCAATAGTTTTAACAGAATTTAAATTAATAGTTTTTAGATTTTTGCAACCAGCAAATGCCATTAGTTGTATAGTTTTTACTGTGGAAGGTAAAGAAACAGATTCAAGAGTAGCACAATTATAGAATGCTTTTGTTCCAATTGTATCTATATTAGATCCAAGTGTCAGAGATGAAGGTGACATTGCCTGTTCGTAAAGTCTAGGTGGAAAAGTCGTTAAAAAGATTGCAACTCAACTTGTACAGGTTGATTTACATAAGCGAGGAATGACTCATTAAAATCATAGGTTCTATTTGTAAAGCTAATTGTTTCGACACTTGATGTATCAAAAAAATCTATATTGAAAGAAATAGAAGTATTTCCTTCAAAAATAACATGCTTTATAAACGGTAACTTAGTCAACTTTCCAGTAATACTTGTTATATTATCAGTGAAACCCAGAGTGTCAGGTTTTTCAGCTATTTTTTCATAATACATGTCCTCTATTGGTTCCAAATCGAATCTACTTATTGCTTTATTAGGAGAAAAAATAAAAAGTTCAGATGCGTTGAATAGATGGAAATAGTCTATGTAAAAACCATTGGGTGAAATGTATAGTCTTGTACAATTCGGTTTGTTTTTACGTACTAATTCATAATTATAAGTTAATACTGATGGGAATATAATTGGTTGCATTCCCAAGTAAATATACAAATCAGATCTGGAAATACTTCCCAAGTCTAGTCTATTTACATAAAAATCATGAATATCAAATGCATAATTTACAATTTTACATGAAAAATTGATTTGAAGAAGATCGCGCTTTCCAAAATATCTGATAATGGTAAAATCACCGAATTCGCCCATTATTAGCATATTATCTTTGATAAAAATGTTATCGCTTCGATTTGGCATAACAAATTCGAGATCTGTAAGTGATTCAAATCCATTTGTACTAATTGACGTTAATGTTGAAGGAAGATCAATAATTTTAACAGTATTAAGTCCAGAAAGTGTTGAAATTGATCTTGCTTTTTCCAATGTAAGCCTTCTCAATGAAACATTATTAAATGTTGTTGAATCTATTGTTTCATCAGGAACTGTTAATGTATCTTGCTTTATATTAGTATATTTAAACTGAAATGTTAATTGAGAAAAGCATAAAACCAGGAAAAACGCCATTTTTGATAAATATCAAATTTATAGGATAAATTGAAATAAAAGGAGGATTGAAAAATTGAATGAGTTCTAGTAACTGAAATCTATATCATGAATTATAGCATTACATTATATTATTTACTTAATTTTTACCCTAAAATCAGAGCTCTCAAAAATAACTATTCAAAATATATTACCCAGATTTTCCTTACTTTTACCACTCCCCATGTAATTTCTGGGGAAAACGATAATTCATTTTTTTTATGGATGAATAGATCGTTTTCCTAGAAAGGACCTCATATCTCTGGCTAAAAAGAGTGTCAGATCCTAAATAGGTTATTGATCTAGTGTACAAATCCAATAAAAAGCCTATTTTTTTGGCTTTTTTGGTGCTCATTTTTTCGAAGATCTACATGAATATGGGGAAACCATCGGATTTTTTTGGTTAACCCACATCTTCATGTAGTCTGGACTATCTTTCCTCGAAGGACCTCTTTACGGGTGTAAAAACTCATAAAGTTCTCAAAAGATTCATTCTCGATCTCCATGCTGAAAGAATTTACAATAAAAAAGAGATCTACGCATCAAACTACAGCCATAAATGAACTGAACCCCTAAAGCTCAGCTCTTAGTTTATCAAAAACGTCGAAATCCTTCTCATTGCAATCAAATTTTCTCAATAACTCATAAGAAAAATCGAATTTTGATTAAGCCGATGTTATAGGTATCACAAATACTACAAACTTGAGCAATATCGAAATTGCCAGCAAAAGTTTGAAATTGCATTGCTCATATTTGTTTTGTAAACTAAAAATCTGCTTATATTATTCATTAATTTTTTATATATTATTCATATACTTTAATAAAAACAATACTATTTCACCTTAAAAATGAATTTCATAAGTCAATATTATTTTTTTGAAAATGTATCAATTTTCGATTAAAACAACATGAGAATAAAATTTACGCAAAATTATTTTAAAAAATGGTTTTAAAAATTTACAATTGATGAAGACTAAGATTGCAAGAAGTTTTGAAGTTTAATTTTAAGAAAAAAAATTCGGATATTATTCATGGATCTAAGTAATTTGATATTTGAGTATCGGCACTATGCATAAAACATATATTTATAGTTTTTTTGGATTTTTATGATTTTAAATATATTCAAATTTGGCAATCCAATAGATTTTTAAAAAATAGGTAAATAAAAATAGATTACATATGCAGCAGATTTAGAACATGAAACAAATCTTATAGTGACCCAAAAAAAAATTCATGATCCAAAAAAGAAAAAAATGGGTAAATGAGAATCAAACCTTGGCATACTGAATCAATATGTCATATGTTTCGATTACCCTACACCGGCAGTCCAAAAAATACCCTTGGTGGTTCTATTTAATAGCTACTCCCAACGATAGGCGGTGTCCCCAGCTTTAGAGGGGTGGTAAAAGTAAGGAAAATCTGGGTAGTTAATTTTTGAGAAGAAGGACGATTAAAAAGTGAATTTTAAATATATTTTAATAGTATCACAACTTATAAAAGTGGGATCATATCATTTACAATTGTTTTGTAGCTTATGACATACGTAATAAGGTCCTATTAATACAGAAATTTACTTTTTTGCTATTTGAAATTAAATTCAAAACTCATACTCTTATAATTAAAACCACATAATTGACAGTTATTCAATGTGTTTAAATTGCATAAGTATTAATTAATATGCACTCAAATATCTTTAATGAACTGTATGACATGATTTTGAAAAGTCATAGAATTTTCTTAAGTAATTGTTAAGTATTAAAAAATGTTTGAAATCGCAAAATGCAAACAGTTGCATCATCTGTGATACATTGTTTGGATTGCGTAAAATTTTTGAAATACAATTTAGTAACCTTAAAATTCATTGAATATTAAAACCTCTAAGGCGACTGAACTTCTTAATCATAAACATCTGCAGCAGTTTCACTTAGCCAATTCTATATTTTTAAGTCTGCCTAGACTTTTCAATGCTCGATTTTAAGGTTCTCATAAAATCGAGCTAATTATTGATAGCTATGGCAGACTTTCATATCTCTTCGGACTATTTCAGAGAATTGAGCCTGAGTTCAATTCTCTGAAACAGTCCAGACAAATTTGCTAAATATTTCAGTCACTATTTAATAATGTGAAGCATACCGACATATATAGACAATTATGAGCTTTTTCTAAACATAAATGTTAATATCATGCTTATTTATAATTAGTTTAATGTTCTGATATTTAGAATCTATATTATCCAATTAATTTCTTCATTAGAATACCCATATACAATATTTGTCACTATGCAAATCATAGGATACATAATAATAAGTAATAGAAAGTTCACAGTTTGGAGTATTAATTTCAACATTATGGAAAAGAACTAAATCATTCCATGCAAAACAAAATTTCATGACATAAAATTAATGATGATATCAATGTAATGCACACTTGCCTCTATTGTAGACATTTTGGGAAGGAGAGAGGTGCTATCCTTTTTTTTATATATAAAAAGTTCCTTAAAAGTCACTGAATGTATTTCTTTATTATTATATGAATGAGAATCTATAAATTTTAACGATAAAAATTTTTTGAAAAAATAACCGCTGAATTAAAAAAGGATGTCAACTAAAGATATACAAATCGGCTTTATTAGAGATAAGACAACTCAATTCCGTAACTTTAGAGGCTCTATGAACTTTGGTTCCGGTCCAACAAATGATGTTTCAACTGGATTAATTAGTGCTACGCCAATGAATGATGCCAAAGGACGTGGAGACTCTACTGTTATTAACACAGCAAGTAATATCGAAGCACAGTTCCAAAACATTCAAAGTGAGATGAAGACATTGGCAGATATGCATAAACAGCGTGTTAAAGCAAACTTTTCCGATAATAAATCTCAAGATGCCGCTATTGAAGCCAAAACAAGATCAATTTCTACTCAAATTACTCAGTTACGCGATCAAATTCGTGAAGGATCAAATCATGTTAACTCTACACAAGCCCAAATTCAAGAAAATATGAAGATGGGCTTTGTCGCTAGACTACGTGATCTTACAACTAGATTTAGAGATATGCAAGCCGCATATATTACAAATATTCGCAGAATGAACGAAAAAGCTCATGCAGCCGTTCTTGATTTAGGAGATGCTAATGATGATGAAATTGGCCTTGATGATTTCGATCCAGGATTAACTGGCGAACAAACTTCTCAAATTGTTGCTAATGATTTAATGCTCAGACAGCGTAACCAAGAATTAACACAAATGATTCAAAGTATGAACCAGCTTAATGAACTTTTTGCCGATCTTGGCACTTTAATTATTCAACAAGGTACAATGCTTGATAGAATTGATAATACGATTGTTGAGGCCCACGAACAAATTCAACAGGGCAATAAAACCCTGGAAAAGGCCGAAACACATCAAAAGAGCAAGTGTTTCTATTGGTATATGATTGCAGTTATTCTTCTCATTATTATATTCGGTACTGTTGTCATTATTAAGAAGCAAAAGAAATCTTCTAAATAATTTTTGCCTATTTATCTTATTTTCATTTTTTTAAATTTTTTGATTAAGTAGAAATGAATAAAACACACGAACGTATAAATGTCCTTTTACGTTCGAAGCCGAACAAAAAATCTTACCCAGAAATTGACAACAACCATTTTTTTAATGTAAAATCGCTAATATACAATAATAGATCAATGAATTGATCCAAATTTTGAAAGATCCATTTTGGCGGTTGAGAGATCTTTTTTTGAATACCAATAAAAAAAAGACTATTCAAAAAAAGATATTATTACGAAATATTGATAGATTCCAGGTATATTTGATTTGCTTAGATACAAAAATTCTAATGATAAATGGGCGCCTTTTCATTCAAAAATAACTGTCAAAACGATAGAATGTAAATTTGAGGAAGAAAATGTGACAACTCGATCAATGTCATCTCAAACGAGTCATAACGAAGTCAACAACTTCCTCCGGCTCGCGACCGAGTCCATCGCCAAAGGCTTCACAGCCGCGGCGCAAGTCGCCCACGAGATGCACTCTTACAGAGAAAGCTCTATCGCGGCAAAGAGAGTATTTACGCTTAATCCGACCAGTGAAAAAATGCTACAACTATTTCCTAATTTTGCACCTCTTGTTCAAGCAATTTATTCGATAATTGAGCAAATTATGATTCAAATCTCAAAAACCGATGCAGATCCAAACCTGTGGATGACACTAGGACACGGATATCTTGTTATCGGAGACTTTCCGAATGCTTTTTCAGCTTACGCAAGAGCAATAAGATTAAATCCGAATAATAACGACATATTTTTCCTCTACGCTTATGGAATTGTGTATAATCACTATAACTACAAAGATCACGCACAAAGCTGCTTCACACAAGTTCTGGCGGAGAAAGAAAAATTTATTTATTATCCAGATTTGGTCTTTCGATTTGCCATTCTACTCCGATCGAAGGGAGAATATGACAAAGCATTAGAATTCTTCGATATCTCGCTTCATAATCCTCCTAACGGTCTAAGTGATGCAGATATTCAATTCCAACGCGCCTACACGCTCAGTCTCAAGCGTGATAACAATTCCGCGTTCCAGATATATCAGACTCTCTACCAGCACTATCCAAATTCCATTGAAGCCGTTGAACAATATGTTTGGTTTTTATATCTCAACAAAAACAATACAATGCCAAACGACGAAATACAGAAAATTATCAACGAGCACCGCGACCACCCGAATCTTACAATTCTAAGCGCCAGAATCGCAATGAAAGAGAATGATACAGAAAAAGCATACCAGAGCTACAGAAGTTGCATTCCTTACTGGAGTGAGAACTCCTATTTCTGGTGCGCACTCGGATGCCTCTACTACCGGAACGGACAAGAGAAAGATGCCGAAATCGCCTTTAGTAGGTCAATCTACTTAGACCCGAACTTCGAAGAAGCATGGCTCAACCTCGGATTGGTCCTAGATTCAAGACCACAGATGGCGTTGGAGATTTATAAGCAGGGAAAGGACAGATGCGTTAATTCAAGGGAACTCGAGAAGCGTATACAGTCATACAGCTTACCAAGTCATCCAACACCAACAATCATAGAGGTAAATGACGCTAATTTCTTTGAACAAGTTCCTTTGAAATTTGCATCGCAATACGTAAACGCAGTTCCAATTTTACCAGCAAGTTTGTTCGGAAAGGCAACAGAGGGACTTAATTTCGAAGAATTCTCTACATTCCCTAAGTCCTTGTTCGCGTAATTTGATTTTTTCGGCTTAAGGCTTTCTTCAATACATTTTTAATATATCGCTTTGAATTATCTATCTCTACGTCAATGATTTTTATGTTCTTGATTTAAATTTTCTTCATTTTGAAATTTTATTTTTTTTTATTTACAATAACCATTAATTTAAAGTCTAATACAGACATGCTTAGATCATATCTTCACTACTCTGAGTAGAGAACAATATCAAATTTTACTTTTTGTTTTATTTGTTTATGAAAGATCTTTCCAATTAAGTAATGAGTCTATAAAGACGTTTTAAACTGATAGATGTGGCAAAATAGGAACCATTTTCGGTTTAAATGATTATAATACCAAATCATTCTTATATTTTGAAATGTCTATCTTCGAAAGTAAGCTAGTGATTCAAATATATTTGAGTACAGATCCAGTACATATTGAATTTTGTGTTTCAACATGAACAATCAAATTCAATAAAAAATGATTAGTTTATTTCGAAACGACTGAAAGGTTATTTATATGACAATGCTAATTAACATATGAAAAACAAATTTTAATTTGAACTTTATTGTTCGTGGAGGACAGAACGATAAATTTAGGAAAAAAAAATGAGTTTTTCTCCAGACCTGAAACAGCGATGCATTAAAGCAATGGATAATCTCATGTCTCATCCTATCGCTTCTATCTTCGCAAAGCCTGTAAATCCAGAAGAAGACGGGTGTGAGAATTATTACGAGATAGTTAAACATCCTACAGATCTGTCTAAGATTCGTGAGAACTTAATTAATGATAAATACTCAAACGTTCAGTCTTGGATCAATGAAATGCGATATATTTGGTCAAATGCAGAAAAAGTTAACCAAAAGGGTGGAGTCGTTCTGCTCCTTGCTGCCGAACTCAAAAAGAACTTTAAAAAAGAATTAAAATACGTAAAATGCTATAAACTACGAAAATGGACAAAATTAGCTGCCTCATTAAAGGATAAACTCGACGATTTACTGGATCAGCCCCCTGACCAACTTTCTGCCTACGCCGTCATTACAGAACAAGTTTCAGATTCCGAACCAAATGATTTTGACGATATTGATCTCTGTAACTTAATATCAGCTACAACATTCCTTACGGCAAACCAGGATGCAAAGCGAATATCAGCAATCATTAAACGCCACAATCCTGAGGCTGCCCCCACAAATAACAACTACAGCGTTGATATTCATGCATTATCTTCATCAGCGCTAACAGAACTCAAAGAATATGCTGAAAAACGCCTTGGTGAAATGAAGATTCCTTATCCTCATGACGCAATTAAGTATGATTGAGTTAGATTTTGTATAAGTTTAGTCTGTATCTTATATTATCTTTATGTTTGGTAATTAAATCCTATCTTTTTTAAAATCGCTAAATTTTTGCACCATGTGAAATAAGAAATTCAGCTGTTTCTTTATGGTTATAATGTTCTGCGATATGAAGAGCGGATTCTCCATATTTATTTTTTTCATTGATATTTGCACCATGTGAAATAAGAACTTCAACTGTTTTTTATGGTTATATTCTGCTGCGAAACGAAGAGCGGTTCTTCCATATTTGTCACCTTCATTGACATTTACACCATGTGAAATAAGAAGTTCGGCTGTTTCTGCACTACCATTTTGTGCTGCAATATGAAGAACGTTTTTTCTATCATAAATTGTTTTTTGATTGATATTTGCACCAAGTGAAATAAGAAACTCGACTGTTTCTTTATGGTTTTTAATTACTGCAAGTTGAAGAGCGGTTTGTCTATAATCATTTTTTTCATTGATATTTGCACCAAGTGAAATAAGAAACTCGACTGTTTCTTTATGGTTTTTAATTACTGCATGATGAAGAGCGGTTTGTCCATCATTATCTTTTTCATTGATATTTGCACCATGTGAAATAAGAAGTTCGGCTATTTCTTTATGGTTATATTCTGCTGCGATACGAAGAGTGGTTTCTCCATATTTATCTTTTTCATTGATATTTACACCATGTGAAATAAGAAGTTCGGCTGTTTCTGCACTATTATTTTGTGCTGCAATATGAAGAACGGTTTTTCTATCATAAATTGTTTTTTGATTAATATTTGCACCATGTTAAATAAGAAGTTTGGCTATTTCTTTATGGTTATATTGTGCTGCGATATGAAGAGCGGTGTGTCCATCATTATCTTTTTCCTTGATATTTGCACCATGCGTAATGAAATATTCACAAAGAGATGGAGTATCAAACATCACCGTATAAATAAAGCATTTGCTAATATCATTAGTTTGATCGAAATAAACCAAAAATGATTCAAGATTTTTATATATTCCGCAATTAAGTAAATCGATCTCTAATTTGTATTCATTCATTAAGAATGTAACAAAGTCAATGTTATGTGAAATAATTGCATGTTCCATACATAATTCATTTGGTTTCTGATATTTCAAACATTCACTCATGATCTCTGGATTTCCACCTAAAAATGAAAATTGCAGACATTTTTGAGTTATTTTTGAGTTAAATTTAGTTCTTAAGAACTTGAAACAATCAACTGCTCCATAGTAACAACATATTTCATTATCGATTTCAAGTTTTTGATCTTTATCAAAATCGTCTCTTTCGGTGAAAGAGACGAATGTTTCTTTGTCATTGTATTTTGTGAATAAATATCGAGATTTTCAAATTTAATTTTTTCGAAACCAGTTGACTTTTCTAATTTAATTCCATATTCTTTGTAAAACAGGAATTCTGAAATTTTTTCAGCATGAGTGACCTCTTTGACTTGAAACTCATCATAGATGAGTTTAGCAACGAATTGGCATTCATTGCGTAAAATTGAGAAATTCTTCCTTCGAAATATTATCTTATAAGATTAATTTCGAGTTGGACAGCCAAATGGTTATAAGTGGGATCATTGGGGATAGATGGTGCGTTTATCCTTCTGCGTTCAAGAATCGATGACGTGTTTTTTCCTTGAGTTGAAGATCTCTAAAGCACTTTTATTTTATGAATTTTATTTTTTATTCATTCTCAAAAATATGAGAGATTATAAACATTTAAATTTTATTTTGCAGTCAATACTATGCTAAAATGATATTCAGCAATTTTTGGGGTAGGGATTTTGGGGGGCTCCCTTCGGTCGCTCCCCCAAAATCCCTACCCCAAAAGTGAATAACATTTTGCAAAAATGCCATCTTGACAATTACAAAAAGATAGATAAGGCTATGCACATACAACAATTATGCCTGTATTGGAAAAAGGTTCTCTTATGGATAAGAAATAGTTAAGCCGAAATCAATAAGAGATGTATTATCAAATCAATTTTGTAAAATGTCATAATTCTAATGCTTTTGTTCTCCAATCTTAAGGACTATTAAGGGTGCACTTACCACCTTCTGACATCCTTTCAATTTTTTTGACATTTAACAATATTTTTTCGAACATTAACTATTTATGAACTGTATGATATATAATTATTTGTATTTTTACTCTTTTAAAGACTTTCTTCTACATTTTTAGCTTATTCTTGACAATTATATTCATATTGACATAAACTCTTTCTATTTTGTGAAAACGGCTCGAACTAAAATGATATAAGTATTGTATTCTCTGTTCCCCCTTGAAATTATTGAAGTATTGAATATTTAACTGGAAAAATATGTGCTTCTAAACTCGTTTTCATATTCTTCGCGTCTATTCAATTTGCTACCATCTGATTTTAATGGAAGCGTCGGATGAAACTGTATAGGAAAGCTTAATTTCAGAGCTATCTGAAGCTTCCATTAGATTCACATAAGTGATAAATGAATTATTGATGTAAGTGTTGAATGAAAGGTGTACTCTCTTAATTCATTTTGCTCCGAGCGTGTTATGTATAATAAAGAATAATGAAATATGAATTATATCATAAATATTCACTTTATTAACAACAAAAATATTACAAAAACTTATTAATCTTGAAATGGAATTCTAACACTTTGAGGATTTGGATCATTAATTAAACTACGCTTTAGAGGTGATGCAGGTGGTATATCACCTGTTCTTTTTGTTAACATTGGAATTTTTGATTTCATTCGTTTTGAATTATGAAAAGCTCCAGGTTTTGACGAAGAAATCTTTCTATTGATTACTTGCAATTGTTTATCAAGTATTTGCATCTTTTCACAAACTTCTTTTTCGAACGAACCAATTTCACCTTCAAATGCATTCTTGATATCGTTTGCATGCCAAATAGCAATTTCCATATTACTTAATGTCGCAATCATAGTTTCGACACTTGTAAGAGCCTGTTCTTGATTGAATGGTCTTTCAATCAAGATAGAAAATAGATCGCCAATGCTTCTTAGTCCTTCATTATCTTTGAACTCCTCAGATTTACAGAAATTACTAACAATATCAATAAAGTCAGTAATTTTTTCAAGATATTTATCATTGGAGTCAGAATCTTGTTCTGTATTTGAAACAGGATGTATAAGAGATCTTATTGGAGTAGTATGACTAGAACTGTTCCTTGATTTCAGTGGAGTAATAGACTTTGTAGTGAGAATTGGTGTTGCATTTCTGGAAGTTGCTGTTGTAGCAAAACTATTTGAAGATACTGTTGATTTAACTGATGAAGGAACTTTGATTTGCTCTAATTGTGCGATCTTTGTATTTGCCAAGTCAATCTCATCTTGGAAATTACGAATTTCAATATCATGAAGTTGTTGCATCTCATCAATCTTCTTATCATTTTCTTCTCTTAGTAGTTCTATTTGTTCATTCTGTTCAATAACTGTTTGTCTGATTGTTTCAATTTCAAGTGATAATTCTTGATTTCTCTTCCTTTCATTTTCAAGCTCTTTCATGTAATCTTTTTGCTCAGAGGCTGTTTCAGTTTGCTCCTTTATTTGTTGTTCTAATTCTTTGTTTTTAGCTTCTGTAATTTGATTCTTTTCTTGAGAAACTAAAAGAGACTGAACATAAGGCACAATGTCTGTAGGAGTGCAATTTAACATTTTAACGAGTGAATCTACTGCAATTTGTGCTGTTGAAAATTCATTTTCAAATTTCGATGAATATTGAGACATTTTGTTTCTGATGCCTTCTATTACATTTTCTGCCTTTATTCTCAATTCAATTTCATGATTGAGACTCTTTTTATTGACCAAATTAACTTGTTCCATAATACTTAAATTTTTATTGAGTTCAGCAATCTTGTCTTGTGATTCTTTATATTTAGATTCAAATGAGTTCACTTCTTTTAATTGCTCTGACTGAGTTATTAGCTTATCAGTTAATGTATCAACTTCTGCTTGATGATTTATCTGCATTTCAGAAATTTCCATCTCTAAAGCAGATTTTTCTTGTAATATTTGAGAAAGTTTCTGTTTTAATTGATCATTTTGAGAGTTTGGATCATCTACATTTGAAGGTAAATGAGATTTCAGTTTGAGAGTTAACTCTTGCTGTATTTCAAGCTTTTCATTTGCAATTTTCAGTTTATCTTGAGTTTCCTTCAATTGTTCAACAGAAGCTTTAATATCTTGATTATACTGCTCGATTGTAACTGATTTCATAACTTTTGTTTCAAGAAGTTTATTTCTTTCTGTAAGTTCCTTAATTTCTCCAAGTAATTCGCCAATTTTATTTTGAATTCCTTCTTCAATTTCGTCATTTTGCTTTCGTTTGAGTTTTGCATTTTCTGAAACAAGTCTCATGATTTCATCATTCAAGACACCTATATCAGAAGCAAAAGAACTCATGTTTTTGAAGCAGAAACAAAAATTTTAAACGGTCATTTTTCATGATTTTGATGATTCCAGTGATTTTAAGATGTTAATTCTATAAGGTTGTAAATATGCGATTTTAAAATAGTAATTTTAATTGTTTTTTTGAAGAATTTGTTTCAAAAAACATTTAATTGTTCAAATTGCTTAATAAAATATTAATAATTTATTTAAGCATACAAATTTAATGATAGATTTTGATAAAGACACAATAATTATTATTTTTCATCACGACGATAGAGAAAAAAAATCAAGCGATGTCTTGTTGGTCAATTAATTCTCAAGTTTTCACTGTAAATGAGGGAGAATTTGATGCGTACAATATTTATGAACTTGATACAGAATCATATGACCAACATAAAGTTATTTTTGAAAACTTAAAACCATTAATTTCAAAATATTCAAGTAATTCATTAACAAAAGAAGATATTGGCAAAGCCATTATCAAAATTAAAGAATATGATACATTTGAAGAAGGAAATGATCTTAAACAAAAAGTTTATGCATTTTTAGAATTACTAAACTACAAAGACAAAGCAATCACAAGAAAAGAATTAATTGATAGCTTGTACCCTAACACAGATAATAACATTGATTCATCTGATATATTTAGTTTACTCGAACAATTACTTCTTTTACGCGATGTTCCTAATGAAGAAGATCCAGAGAGTGCAGAAGGATACATCAATTTCAATGATCATTACTTGAGACAAGGTGGAAGTGAGAAAGTCGCTGATATTCTTACAAGATTTTACGAATATCAAAATGTCGAAGATTTTAGACAGAAATTGGTCTCCTTACAGAAGACAAAAATACAAGAATTTGATGATAGAGTTATTAATTACATCATTGGCATTATAGATCGCGAAGAATGCCAAAATCAAAAAGATTTTATCAAAACGATCATTGTTAAAGCTGCTTTCTCAGGTATTTCTATTACAGCTGACTTAATCATGGGCGTTGCTTCCAAACTCGGTACTCCAAAGTATGAAAATGATGAACAAACAACAGAACTCTTATATGCATATTTGTTACAAGGAAAATTCAATGAATTCGCTTCACATTTCTATGATATGACCAATGATTTTACCTCTGAATTCACTTTTGTCATTTTCTTGAAATTTATCTTGTCATTATACAAAGAAACCAAATTCGACGAAGACGAATCGATTACTTCTATTGTCATACGCAGATACTGCCAATATATTGCTTCAATTGAAGAACTTATCGATTATATTCCAACATATTTCGGAATTCTCAAGAATGGAACAAAGAATCAGGTTTTCCAAGCCTTGAATCCTGATATCCAGCATCATTACTGCTCAAATAGTACAATGGCAAGCTCAGGAAACGGAATTCTTGATTTAATTTCAATTGCGCTCAAATCTAACCCCATTTCCTATGATAAGATATTCACAGAACTCAACAGGCAAGAGACTCTACTCCTTACTGACAAAATTTTGGAAAATATTATTTTGAATCTTCTAAAATTGCCAGAATTTCCGGCCAATAAGCTTAATCCTGAGATCCTCATTAAGCTTATCGATGTTGCGAATCGCCAAATTGATCATTGCACTGACAAACAAATAGTTACACAATTACGCAAATTCCTCTCCAAATTTATGAATCAGTCACTGGAGAAAATCGTTAAGGATGGAAAAATACCAGTGTATCCAATATCATGTTTCCCAGAATGAGTTATTTTCTGAATTTTTTCTTTTATTCTCCAAAATTATTTTGTATATAGTATAAATAAAGTTTATTTTTATCAAGTTATAGCTACCTTGTTTCTGATCCTTTCATTGAATACCTTTCCGAGAAAAAAATAAATTTGACAAATTATTCAAATTGAAAATCTGCATTTAATAATCGAATAATGAAATATAATTCATATATATGTTTTAATTTGTATGCTATAATAACATATCTTTATGGATTTGATCTATATTTGACATGTTTCCAGATTCATTTTGATACTTTAGCTAAATATTATAAAATGTCATACAGATGGTATTTGTTCTGAAGTTGGATCAATACATAATACCTCTTTATATTGAAAATTTATTATATTTTCCAAGGGATAATTCAAAACAATCCCCTATATAGTAACTCTTCCTTCACACTGAATACAAATAATATGGTCAATCCTTGTTGTTATGATCAAAATAAGATGTTTACAAGTATTTTAATTAGATATCGTTAGTATATGTGAATCCTTGTAATTTTTTCTGAATGTTATCGCCAACGAGCGATGGATCTTCGTATGTAAGCTTTGGTGCCTCGCCTGTGAATTCTTGGTCGAATTGTGAGACATCCAAGAGGTCTTGAACAGGTGGCTTCCACTGCATTGGGATTGTCTTCTTCTCGAGGTTTGTCCAGTTGATGGATGCGAAGAATGGATGAGCCTTAATCTCCTCAGCATCGGTTGGACCGGAACCGAGACGAGTTTTGGGATCCTTATCGAGGAGTTTTGTGATCAAGTCGATAGCATCCAAGGAAGCGTCCTCTGGGAAAACAACTTCGTCGCGCAAAATGGAGCGATACATTGCATTGGTGTTTGCATCGTAGAACGGAGGAACACCGTAGAGCATTTCATATGCAAGTGTTCCAATTGCCCACCAATCGACGGAAATCGTGTATTCGTTGCCATTAATCATTTCTGGAGCAAGATATTCTGGAGTTCCGCAGAATGTTGTTGTTGTGGAGTCCTTTGTCATGTTACGCTTGACCAAACCGAAGTCGGTGAGTTTGATGTAACCATCTTTGTCGAATAAGATGTTTTCTGGTTTAAGGTCTCTATGCATAATTCCCTTCTTATGGAGATATCCGATGGCTGAGACAAGTTCGGCGATGTAATAACGAGCTCGAGGTTCGGCAAATTTTTGTTCGGCGCGAAGGCGCGAGAATAATTCGCCTCCTTGGACATAATCCAAGACAAGGAAGATCTTAGTTTCAGTTTGGAATGCATAACGTGCGGAAACTAAGAATGGATGGTTGATTGACAAAAGAACATCTCTTTCAGCGATGATTCTGCTAACAAGATCATGCTCTGAAAGGAGCTGCTTAGAGATGGACTTCATGGCGTAAATGAGGTCTGTCATCTTATGGCGGACAAGTTGTACTTTACCGTAAGATCCTTTACCAAGGACTTTAAGAATATCGAAATCTTCGACCTTGACTTCGGAGCGCTTCTGTGGCTTTGACTTAGCCAATTCATCCCTGGCTTTTGTGATTAAATTGACCCATTCCTCCATTTGCTTGGCATTTTCGCAGGAAATTTCGTAAGTACGCTCAGGAACAGTAATCATGAAAGCATTTGGCTTGGCGCATTCTGGAAATGGCCTAATCTCCTTGATTTGTAATAAATCGATAATGCCTCTCTCCTTGCCATTTGGCTCAATGAAGTAGGTGAGAGTATGACTTGTAAGAACAAACCAACGCTTCTTCCATGACTTGATATAGTATCCGATTTTAGTGCACCAGCCTGAGTGTATCTGTTTGGGTTGGGACATAAATGTTTGTAAAGCAATCAAATAAAAAAAATTGAGCGATGTATCGAAATTTCAATAATTTATTTTTTTACAGGCGTATTTATAGCCATGAATTCTATAATAAGTATCTGCTAATATTTCATTAAGATTTTAGTTTTCTATGTCTCTCATTTAATTAATTGAATTTTTTGCCAAGTTCAGAGATTTATTTTTTACAAGATTGATATCAGCAGTTATTTTCAATTTTGATCAAAGATCAATGTCCAACCAATTATCTCACTATATTTCTGGATGTTTCTGTGCATCTGATTATTTGCAATAAATCTTATTTAAAATATCTTTTTTTTGCCGATTTTCTGATTGTACATTGGAATTGAGTATATACCAAAATAACAAGTTGTAAATGAAAGTATCTTGAGAAAAGACATTTCGATGAGGTTTTTATTACCTTATTGCCTAATAATTTTGATCATTTTCCAAAGTTGAATCCGCTTCTTCGGGGCTGAAAAACCATAATTACATAGTAGATCAAAGCTCTGAATATAAATATTAAAATTAAAATAAAAGAAAAATACGCCAACGCATTTCATTTTCAGTTTATATTGCTATTTCCTTCCAAATCATATTGACACAATCAATATTATAAATTGACACTTTATTGCTCCTGTCATTTTTTTTGGCAAAAGGATATCGCCAATGTTCTCATGGGAAGTTAAGATAATTCACTAGCAGAATTGCAAATATATGGCCATGGCAACTGAATATATATCAATTTTTGGATTCCTTTTTTCCAATTTTTAGAAAATTTACTATCGTTACTAACTATGGGATTTGGATTCGGTTTTGAATTAAACTGTATCATTTATGATGTTTCATAAGATCCAAAACCATTTTCATCAGCCTTATTTGATCAAATTCTATTTTTAACTTTAATTTTATTTTAAACCTTATCGTATGATAGTATATCGAAATTACTTTTTGCTTACCATATTTTCAAGCTTCAAATTTGAAAATAATTTCATTGAATAACAAATTTTTGTTAAAATTAAAATTTGTGTATAAATATACCAAAACTTTGGTAGTAACTATTGCTTTTTGAATTGGTATCTGTCATAAAATTAAGTCCAAACATCTTTGTATTCTATGCATAGCATCAATCATCATTTATTGCTTGCATTTCTATACAAGAGGCAATGATGAAATATTTTTTGTTTCATCTGCTTATTTCTACACATTCTTTTGGCAATACGGTTTATATTATCAAAAGAATTTAAAGATATCATTCAACGATTATACAAAAATTGACGATCAATGTACATTTAATTCACGAAATACTAATCCTAATAGTACTCCAAGAGATATATTAATTTCATATTGTAAAGGCAAGATCAAAAACATAAATTTGTTTGCCCGTACATTAAGGCATACAGGATCTAAGTGCACTTGCGTTATTTTACTTGATCATCAAGCATCGCAATCTCTTTCAAAAGAAATGCGAAATGATATTCAAAATTTAGGTATAATTCTAATCGATGTAGGTAATACACAACTTATTCAACCCGATGATGTCTTCTGTCAAGCCTATATTTATATGATTAATTTCATTCGAAGAAATTTTTGGGATGTTAACAGAGTAATTAAAATAGATCTTTATGATACTGTATTCCAAGGCGATCCATTTACTCAATCTCTACCAAAAGGAGCTGTTCATCTACTTGAAGAAGGTTTATCTTTCTTATCTTCTGAAGGCAATGTAAATATGGACTTACTCAATGCATTAGGATATAAAGTTCAAGATTTTAATTACCATTACGTCTGTGCAGGCTATTTTGGAGGCGATGTAGAAGAAATTCTGAACTTCTTATCGTTTTCATTGACTTTTTATCTATTTGGACGTCATTGGCATGATCAAGCACTGTTTAATTATCTACTCATGACAGGAATCTATGAAAATAACCATATTTTCATTAAGAAATATGATTCATTATCATTAGTTCGCCATTTATCAGGAATAAAGCTACGAGATAATCAGTTCCTAGGAAATGTCACATCTGCCTACAGAAATGACAGATATGCGGCTATAATTCACCATTATTATTTAGGTAAGGATTTTTTATACTCAATTTATAGATCATGTCCTCCTACTAGTATTAAATATCCAGATTACATTAATATCAAGATGGAAAATCTGACGTTTGAAGAATTTGAAAGAAAAGCAAAGAATTTATGAATAAAATTTAAATATCTATATGCACAATATAATATTATATAACAAATTAGATCAACTCTTTATATTTTTTTGGTTTAATTTAAAGAACAACACCTATCTGACACTGAAGAAGTTACAAAGAATTATGATTTTTGATTTTTGATTGTTATGCGACACATTTTAACATACAAGCATTGATTATCTATTTAGATCAAACCCAAAGAGTCAACAAAACGTTTATTTATTAGCCTAGATTTCATTCTTTAGAACTTGTTGAATATTTTATCGATTATGGAGCTGATATTAATGCAATCGATGAAATGGGAGTAACCGCTCTCTGCAATGCATCAATAAATTTTAGAGTTGAGATTTTTGAGTATCTTATATCAAAAGGGGCAAATGTCAATTTCTTTTTTGTGCGGAACAAAATAGGTTACAATTTATGGAAATCCTTATTTCACATGTGGCCGATGTTAATGCACGAACTAATTTCCAGCATTGGATACAAAGAATAAAGAAATTGCATCATATCTCATTTCTCTTGGAGCAAAAATGAGATAGGATTTAGTCAACTTCACATTGCAGTGTTAAACAATTATATGGCGATAGCAAAATTATTAATGATAAAAGGTGCGGATGTTAATGCGTATGATATGTGTAATAAAACACCAATTATATATGCAATAGAGAAAAGTAACCTTGAAATGATAAAATTTCTTTTATCAAAACAAGCAACTGTCAACGTTTCCAACATATAAGAAACTAATGCTTTTAATAACGCAGTTATTAAAAACAATTTAGATGTTATAGGAACACTTATTTCTCTTGGTGTGGATGTCAAATCAAGAGGTGTAGAAGGAAAAACTGCACTTCATATGGTAGCGCAAAATAATAGTAAAGCAGTCGCAGAATTTCTTATTTCTAAATGTGCAGAAATTAACTCAAAAGATGATTTAGGGAAAACTCCATAACATTATGCAGCAATTTTATTGGCATAGACTTAATTGAATTCCTTGTTTCACATGATTCTGATGTCAATTCAAAAGATCATGATGATTGGAAAGCTCCACTTCATGATTCGATATTATCTTTCATATTTGATGAGAAAGTTGAAGAATTTCTTTTAATAAATGATAATAATGGAATGACATCTCTTCATTATGAAATACTTAATGATAAGATCGAAATGACAAAATTCTGCTCACTCATGAAGCAAATGTTAATGTCAAGAATATGATTGATATGAAACCTTTAAATTATTCAATTTATGATGAATTATCAAGTATTCTTATCTTGAATGGTGTAAAACGTGGTGAAGATCTTGATTTTTGAATCCAATAAGTTGAAAAAAAATTAATAGAAATTGAAGTTTTAAGGAGGAATTAATTAATTAAATCATGTTGAAAAAAAAAAAAAAAAAAAAAAAAAAAGGTAGTGGGGCTTCCAGGCACTTCGTGCCCTCTAGCCCTGAAGATGTTTAGTATAAATGAAGTTTTTATTCGGAGGGCTTCCCGAAGATGTTTAGTATAAATGAAGTTTTTATTCGGAAAATTGTTAGTCTTCTGGGTCGAAAACATTATATAATGTGTCGCTTTTCACAAATTATATATGTTTTCATGTTTTGTCACTTTTCTGTCACTTTTCAGGAAAAAACATTTTATTATTATATATAAATGAATTTTACAAAACCACCGTTACCGTTCTTTGGAAATAAGAGTAAATGTAAAGATATTATATTGAGAGAACTTAAGAAACTACCGAATGGTCTAACATTTGTAGATTTGTTCGGTGGAAGTTTCTATATATCTCATTTGTGCCATACTGTATTTCCTGACTCAAAGATTATATGCAATGACTTCGACAACTATATGGACCGTCTCAAACATATACCAGACACAAACAATATATTGAAAGAGTTAAAAGAAAAGATACCTATAGGTAAGATGGAACGTATACCATTAGATAACAAAAATATTGTGAGAGAGGTTTTGAAAAAAGCAGAATATATAGACTGGGATAGTATATCTGCTAGACTATTATATAGTGGTTCTATAAGAGTTCATGACATTGAAACACTTATGTCAAAAGTTTTATATCTTAACTATACAAATGTTTTCAAAGAGGACATAGAAAAATATATTGAGGGTATAGAGTTTGTGAGATGTCATTGGACAGAGTTGTATGAAAAATATAAAGACAAGGAAAATATTTTCTTTATAGTGGACCCGCCGTTCTATAACACATGGGATTTTCAATACCAAGTAGACTGGACTTTGAGAGACTCTTTAGAAACTTTAGACGTTTTACATAACTGTCCATGCTTTTACTTTACATCCGATAAAAGTGGTTTGGAAAGTGTTATGAGATGGTTAGAGGACATACATGACTATGATTTTAGATACGATAAGATAGAATATGAGAGAGGTCCTATAAACCGGAGAAAGTGTCATAACAAAGAAATTTTATTGGTAAGTAAATGTGGTTTGAAATAGGACTACTTGTTTTAGGTTTTTTCCATTGTGTCATTTACTTATTTGACGTGGCAGAAAGATATAGAGAATATGAAGATGAACCAATGTCTGCAAATGTTCAGCATATGTACTCGTAAGAGATATTTTTATCTAATATTAAATGGACGCACAGAACTTAGCGAATGCACAGAAACCTGGACAACCAAACCCAGAGAATATTCCAAATGAAGTTAGAATACAAACTGCAATGGCAAACTATGGTCAAGTGCCAACAGATGTACAAATGCAAACTGCCATGTCAAATGACGCTGCGTTAGGTTTGCCACCATGGTATGCAAATATGAGATGGAAAGAGTTTTATACAAACCCTGAAGTGGGATATAAACAACTCTATGCAGATGACGCGAACACAGGAGTTGACCCAGAATATGTTTTCTACCAGAGGAGAAACAGAATGTATGAGCTCCAGTTAAAGAATGCTATGGAACTCAACAGGAAACGTAAGAGACTAGGTGGACATTAGATTTTTACATATAGTAAAATGGGTTTCTTTGGAAGAATAGGAAACTTCTTTCGAAATGTCGGAAGAGGTATATGGAATGGAATAAAATCTGTCGGAAGAGGAATTTGGAACGGTGTCAAAAATATTGGTAAAAGAGTAGGTCAGTTCGTTGGTATTATACCTAAAGACCCTGAACCAGAAGAACAAGCTCCTGTTATACAACAGCCTGAACCTGCACCACAGTCTAGTTGGCAACCAAATCCAACACCTCAACCGTATTAAAATTATATTTTTACCGTTCGATAGTAGTTGTATATGAAGCTAAGTTCTAAGTAAAACGCATGGTATAATGGAACTATTCTCTTTCTTCCATCTGTTGTAAACCATACTTGAAAGTCTGAAATACTTCCACTCGGTGGTTCATATAGCTTTGTAGGTTTTTCGTAAAAGTCATTTGCCAAGCATAAAAAAGAGTTTTGTGCACCAGAAAATGAAGCATGAACTATAATAGCATCTGAGTCGAAAACATTTTCATATGTTCCATTAGGGTTTTCGACTTCATAAAAGTTCGGGTGTACTGGATATTCTGCAGGCTGATTTAACATCCTCAAAAATCTATACCATGCCAAGTTGTTATATTTTGTAGAAATATAAACGTCTTCTCCAAGGTCTTCTATTCTATTGATTTTAACAGTTGCATTTTTCCTGTCATATAAAATATCGAGATGGTACTCTCCTTCGTCAATGTTGTACTGTTTTGCATATTCGAGATAGATATCGTTTATTTTTTCTTGAAAAGCTTGAAGAGTTGTTTCTAAGTTTACAAGCAAACTAACTTGTAAAAGTTTTCCCTGTTCAAATTTCTCATACGTACGTTTTTCTTTGTTATAGTATCGAATTTCAAAAGCGACCGTAAATGGGAAACCATGTATGGCTTCTGAAATGAACTTCATTCTACGAAAGCCAACAGCTTTTGTGACGGATGGGTCTCTTAACCATCTCAATGGGTAGTCAAAACGATAGCCTTCATGCTTTACGGTCTCTGTCTCAAACTTTTGACCGACATTCGTAAAAAGTTCATCTAATGGTTTAGTTGTAGCAACTCTTGAATTTTCTTTTTCTATTGAAAGCATATTTTATCTAGAATAAAAATGTCAAAAGAAACAGCGTCTATGAGAGAAATACAACACAACCGACAACTCATTATACAAGCTCTAAATAAGAACACAACAAACTTTTCAAACTATTCTAAGATATCTGAGTCATTGAAAGAAGGAAACTTAAAACTGACGATAAACCCAATGACAGATGAGTTTCTGTTTCAAGACAGTAAGAACCATACTGTTTGTATAAATCCAACAAAAGGAACTTTAAACGAGAAGCCTATAAAAGAACTTCTTTTGAAAGCAGATGTTGACAACAAAGCTGACAAAGAGTATGTCATTGAAAAAGTTCAAGAAGAACATGACAGAGCAGATGCAACATATGCAACAAAAGAACATACTCATCCTGAACTAGCAGACAAAACATATGTTGACAATAAAATGTCAAGTGAAGTGACAAGAGCTGAAAACGAATATTCTAAAAAGACTCATACACATACCATTGCAAATATTACAAACTTACAAGAAACCTTAAACAGGAAAAGTGACGTTGGACATACACATACTATATCTGAAATAACAGACTTAAACGTTAGCCTTGAAAAGAAAGCTGACAAAGAGTATGTAGATGCAACAAAAGACTATATTTTCGCATGGACAGATAGAGCATACCCACAAAAACACCATACACATAACATCTATGACGTAGATGAACTTCAAGAAAAGTTAGATGACAAGGCGGATAAAACATATGTTGACAATAAAATGTCAAGTGAAGTGACAAGAGCTGACAAAGAATATTCTAAAAAGACTCATACACATACCATTGCAAATATTACAAACTTACAAGAAACCTTAAACAAGAAAAGTGACGTTGGACATACACACGATTTCTTCGCAACTGTTGGTATAGAAAATATTGCAGGAACGGTTGAAGAACCTGAT